CATGGAACGGGAGGAGAGGTGGCGACAGGAGGACCAGCAGGCGACTCAAACGCTGCTTGGAATAATGAGGGAGCAAACGGACACGCTCTGCCGCCTTGTGGATGTTCTGCAGGACCGGAGGCAGGAGGAGAGAGCCCCGCTGCAGTCTCTCTCTAACCGCCCTGCCCCGCCACCAAGTCCCATACCCCCCTCACCCAAAGTCCAAACACGGAGGGGCGGCAGGGGCCGTGAAAACTTTCACTCCACCCCAGCGGACAGCTATAGCAGTAGAAGGCTCTCATTCCCCAAAATCTGAAAAGTCCTTTCCTACCCGCCTCACACAAGACCCCGTCCAAGTTTCACCCCCCCGTTCCATGTGCGGTTGTTAATAAAAAATACGTTTCTGTTCATTACTGTTTCCATCCTCTTCTTTTGGAGGAGAGTCTGTCTGAAGGGGGGGAAGGGGCTTGGTAATTAGACAGGACAGTCACCTTTAGCAGGGGGCAGGCCCAGCAGCAGGGCACATACACAGTGCAGTGACTAGTTACCCTGGTTAGTCTGGGAGGTGGCTTTCATGTTCTGTGGGGGGGGGGGTTGCTCTGTGACTTTGTGGCGGGGGAGGGCAGTTTAGAAGCATCATTAGCATCACAACACTAAACCCAGGTTTAAAACATTCCCGCGAAAAGAGTAATGAAGACAACGGTGTTCATTAGCAAAACAGAACAGATTTTATTTTTTGGGAAGGGGGTGAAGGGGGTAACTGGGTAAAGAAATGGGGGCAAGTTCAGCTTCTGTGTCCACAAACTTAAAAGTCACTGGGTACCCTGCTCAGTCCTGGAACTGGCTTTCAAAGCCTCCCGGATGCACAGCGCGTCCCGCTGGGATCTTCTAATCGCTCGGCTGTCTGGCTGGGCGTAATCAGCAGCCAGGCTATTTGCCTCAACCTCCCACCCCGCCATAAAGGTCTCCCCCTTGCTCTCACAGAGATTGTGGAGCACGCAGCAAGCTGCTATAACGATGGGGATATTGGTTTCGCTGAGATCACAGCGAGTCAGTAAGCTTCTCCAAGTAAATACCAGTCAGGGCTGCTCGCATGCGGGTGTCCTTGCGCTTCAGGGCAGGGGACAGCAAGTCACAAAGTTCCAGGAAAGTCCCCTTCCGCATGCGAAAGTTTCGCAGCCACTGGGATTCATCCCAGACCAGAAGCACTATGCGGTCCCACCAGTCCGTGCTTGTTTCCCGGGCCCAGAATCGCCGTTCAACAAAATCCACATGCCCCACTGCAAACGCGATGTCCTCGGCGCTGGGTGTCGTGGTTTCTGACAGGCGTGTGCTACTCTCGGAGTTCAGGTCCTCACCCCGCTGCCGTAGCCTCCTCGCCTGATTTCTCTCTATCTGCCTCTGTGAAAGGTGGATGATGAGCTGCGAGGCGTTGACAACGGCCACAACTGCAGCGATGGTCGCAGCGGGATCCATGCTCGCGGTGCTGTGGCGTCCACGCTGTCACTGACCAGAAAAGTGCGCGAACTGATTTCCCGCCGGCGCTTTCAAGGAGGGAGGGAGGGCGGGAGTGACGATTGGATGACGACAGTTACCCAAAAGCACCCTCGAGACATTTTTTCCCCCCAGAAGGCATTGGGGGCTCGACCCAGAATTCCAATGGGCAGCAGGGACTGCGGGAACTGTGGGATAGCTGCCCACAGTGCACTGCTTCCAATGTCGACGCTTTCCCTGGTAGTGTGGACTGACAAAGTCGAATTACTGTCCTTGGTGTGGACACACACGTTCGACTTTCTAATATCGATTGCAAATATTCGATTTAACTAAAATCGAACTACTCTCGTAGTGTAGACATACCTTTAATTAAATGGGTTAAACCAGTGGTTCTCAAACTTCAGCAACCTGAGGACCCGCGTTTTGATTTAAATTTTTTTGCAGACCCCCCAAACCCTCTGCTCAGTCTGAGGCCCCAACCTTGCCCCACCTCTTCCCACCCCCACTCCACCCTTGCCCCTCCTTTTTCCCACCTCTTTCTGACCCTCCTCCGAGCACGCCCCATCCTCTCTCCTCCCTCTCCCTCCCAGCATCTCCAGCACACTGCTGAACAGCTGTTCCATGGTGTGCAGGAGGCGCTGGAAGGGAGGGGGAGGAGTTGATCAACGGGGCCGGCGGCCTCAGGCATGACTTGCAGACCCCCTGAAGTACCTTCACAGATCTTCAGGGGTCCACAGACCCCAATTTGAGAAACCCTGGGTTAAACCATATGGTATTAGCTAGTGTTGGGCATGGACAAACTGCTTTACACAGGAGAGGTCCTGTCACTGCAGGATATCTGGGATGACTAAACCTATCATGTGACCAATAGCATGTTACCCAGTTAAATCTACCAATAAAGGGAAATACCCCACTTGTTCTAAGCATGGAGGATGATTCATTTAAAGAAGGCATTTTTGAGACATATAGTTCAGGAGCTCTTGAATGATTAGCTCATGGGATATCTATATTTGTTCAGAAAAAAATTCTCTACTGGACATTCAGGACAGGAAAGAATGATGACAGTACTCAACTTTATGCCTCATTGTTGGCCAATCCATTCTGAACTGTCTCTCCGCTCTCATACTATCCCGCCAACATTTTTAGATGGATTAGAGACATTTGATTAAGATTCAACTCAGATAAGACCAATATGATGCTCCTGGGTAAGGTGAAACATTTTGAGGATAGTTAACAACCTGTGCTTCCATTATGCAGGGAGTATGGACACAAAATGTGGAGGTTACCTTGACAGCTCCCTCAGCATGGAAGCTCTCCCAGCATGGCACTCAGTGGTGAACTCCTATTATTGCCATCCCCAATTTATCCAGAATATCAGACTGATTCTTGCTAGCATGGCCCTTTTCACAGGGATGTGTGCATTTGTTATATCTAATTTAGACTACTGAAATAGACGTCTAACTGGACTTCCCCTAAAATTGATCCATGGGGCGCAGCAGTTGCAGAACACAGCTGCCTGCTTGTTCGTAGGATTGCAGCAAGGAATTTGGTTGTACCTCTGCATAAAAATTTTATTAAGATGATGTTAAAAAAAAAGTGAACAGAGTTTGAGCATAGAAGTTTCTGGTTATCAGGGAATAATGTACAGATTATCGAGGGTGCAAAGTTTGGTTTAAGATCAGGTGGCATAAGGAATACATAATCTGCAATATCCCCGATTGGGGGTAAAAGGTTGATGGGTCAAAGTACAGGCATTGAGATAGGAGGGTATGAAGTTCATAGAGTGGCTATGTTCGGGTGTGGAGTATAATGAGTGGATATGATGATGAGGATGGATTGACCCTCAGTTGGTGAGATTTAATGTTCAGGGAGTTTATGGTTCCAGTTCATATGATCCAACAGAGAAGGTCACTTGGTCCCTTTCTCATAGTGGGAGAACGATGTCACTCTGGCTCACGCCTCTCTGCACTTGTTTCCAGTCTTAGGCACCAGCTTCCCCTCTGCCTGGTGGGTGCTCGACCCTGGAGGAGTGGGGACGCGGAGCGCTCGGGGGGGGGGGGGGGGGGAGGGAGGCGAGGAGGGGGGAGCTTGGCTGCCAGTGGGTGCGGAGCACCTGCTAATTTTTCCCCCAATCGGTGCTCCAGTCCCAGAGCACCCACAGAGCCGGCGCCTATGTTTCCAGTATGCCAAAAGGACGTGATCTACTTTATCTATCTTGGAGACTGACAGATCCTCATTCCATGGCCTTGGGCAAAGAAAGGATTGTGGATTCCTCCTACAACTCCAGCAGATTTCCACTGCACATGACATTTATATTTGGGTTTTATGAAGGTTCAGGGATTTGGCCCAACACTATAAAAGATACACAGACAATGGGCAATTATGCGACTATAGGTGTAAACTGTTCAGACCTCAAATACAATTATTTGTAAACTGGAGAGTACATTAAAAATGTAAGGGGCTAAAGGCAAATATGTAAAGGTTAAAAAAAAATTACACACACCTGGAAAAAGGGTTACATGTACATTCTTTTCCCCAATCCCTTTGTTTGTAAGTAATTAGACCACACCTAAATGTCTATACTGATCCAGAAACAATTTTGGGAATTAAAAAAATAAAATATATTGGCAGGATTTGTAAGGAAGACATTTTTGTAAAACTCAAACTATGTGAATACTGAAATCACCTGATAGTGAGCCTTCTCAGTGGATGCATCAGTGTACTCCATTGACTTCAACAAAGCTATGCCAATTTATACTATCTGAGAATCAAGGTTTACCCACATGAGTAAGATTTACTCCTATGATTAAACATGTAATGGCAGGACTCCTAACTGAAATATTAGGGGGAAAATCACCATATAGTGATAAGTTAGTCAGTGGAACTAATTTAGTAAGATAACTAAGCATCAACAACTAGGTTAATTTTAGATAAAAATAAACAAGCATATGAAAAACTTAGAGTCCCATCTCCTGAAGCAGGAGGTTAATGACAGAGTAGTCCCTTATCACTGATGATTTAAGTTTGATTTGCACTGAGATTCACCACAGAAAACTGTCCTACAAAAATAACCAAAGCCACATTAATCATAAAAATCTTTACATCTGACATTCCGAATTCTTTTTTTGTTGTGGGGGTAGGTATTAGTCATCATAAATCTAGCTCGGAGTGAGGAATTTGTTTTAATGGGAAGATACTGTCATTGAGAAATTCATTTGCAGCTGTTTTTTTAAAAATATCCATGCATAACAAAAACACAAGTGACAGAAGAAAAACAGCAACAGCTTTTGAGACAACCCAGAGCCAACAAAACTAGAAGTGATCCTTCTACTCTGAAATGCCCTGTCCATTTGACTGAGAGTAAAAATGTTTTCACCCCTCAGCTCACAGAGAGCCAGAAAGCACCGTGGGAATTCACCACGTGGCGACTCAGTCTGGAGGAATCCCGCCTGTTGCTGCTTTTTTACAAAAAAAAATAGAGATTAATCATTTTTCCTCGAAGACGTAAGCAGGAAAAAGGCTGTTACCTAGTAAGAGGAAGGAGAAGAGCCACTGAATCACTGCAGCTGTCTGAATTCTCCTGGCCAGGGGAATGTTGATGGGAGCAAACTCGACCTTCATGCTGTGTCTGTCCTGTCCTGCAGAGGTAAAACCTTCGCTCTTCCCCGGAGAGGTGAACAGCAGCCGAACGAGGACAGCAAACAACCGACTCCCAGCTCTGATCCCCCGCCAGGATTAAAACAGGTCCTCAGTGCTCCGGCTGGCCATCGCTCCCCGCAAGTTGAAGTTCGGGGGGTGAAGGTTCAGCTCCGGCGCCGGGGCGGCCCGCTGCCTTAGGGGGAAGCGATCACTGAGGGCAGCCAAAGCCTCGGGGCTTGCATGTGACTCAGCCAAGCGGCGCGAGTCAGACCAGAGCCCGTACGCACCCTACTTTACGGGAACTCGCTGCCCGCTCCCAGCAGAGGCAGGCGGAGAGCGGACAGTCCCGGGCCAAGAGGGCTGCCGGCAGAGCAGGAACTACTGTGCTGGGACGGGCTAGGCTGCAGCTCGGGGAGCAGTGCAGAGGCTGCAGTTCAGCGAGGTGGGGGAACACCTGACTGCTGTGCAACACGAGAGCAATTCAGGCCAAGAGGCGAGCCCGGCGGGGAGGGGCAGTGACTAGGGCAGATCGGAGAGGAGGTGGTTGTAATAAGACCTGGCTTGTCAGTACCAATAGGAACCATCAGGTGATCCCTTCCACGTCAATCTCTACCCCGCACCATTCGCCTAACTGTGAAAAAGGTGCCTCACGTTAGGGGCCTGGGGCCAACAAATATGAGCAGAGTAAAAACAGCCAAAAACGGTGTAAGTCTTTCCCCATAGCGTTAAGCAGCTGCCTCCACATGTCTATGGTCACTAAACAGTATTGCCAGCCTCAAAAGTTCAAAAATCACGAGTCAAACTCCAAAAAATCATGAGATTGGCCCAAATATGATGTTTTAAAATTACACTGTAATTTTGGTCTATCTTTAAGTTTTTGAACTTCCTCTGCCCACCCTGGTGTGTGTGGATGCAGGCATGTCCAACCCAGGGTGTGTGTGTCCCTTACAGTATTAACAACTCTCCCTAATTTACGGCTTGGCTATGTAATGCCAGCAAAGGAGGGGCCAGCTCTTGCCAAGGCTTTAGGCCCTAGCCAAGCACTGACAAATTCATTGCTGGAAATCAGTCTATTTCACCTGTGTGTTAATATGGCTAAGGTGGGTATTGAACTCATAACATTGTGTTTAGTGTTTTAGGCTTTATGAAATGCTTGTAAATTGCTGCATGTGTTAATCTCACTTCTATCTTTATCACCTGCTATAAGGTAATATTTAAGTTTTTGCTTTATAACTGTAAAAAATGTTTGCTCTGGAACTGTGGACATGTCAGGAAAGATTGTCTCCTGCTCATCAAGAAAGCTATCACAACTAAATGGGCCATTGTGGGACATCACAACACAATGACTTTCTTAATTGCCTCTTAACACCCATGAAGAGGCTAAATGAAAAAGGGCTCCTCCCATCAGCTTGAATTCTGGAAGAAAGAAATAAAAATAGCAGGAATTTTTTTTCAGTTTTTCATCTCTTTTGCTGTTTGGTCTCTGACTGGGCCAGAGCTACAAAACAGAAGCAGAGAGCCCCAGGGTCAACCTGGGTTAGCCCTAAAATACATTCAGAGCTGACAAGTTACTACAACGTTGTCACCTTTTAAAACCATAGACTGTAACTCATTTGTGTCTATAAATTTGCTTGCTTTAGCCTTGTGGTTACTGTCTCATTTCTTTTTCCTAGTTAATAAATCTTTAGTTAGTTTAATACAGGACTGGCTACAAGTATTGTCTTTGGTGAGAGATCTAAAGTACAAATTGAACTGGGTAAGTGACTGGTCTCTTAGGACTGGAAACAACCTGAATATTTTTTTATTTTTGGTGTATAGCAACTATCAGTAAATCCAGCTTGCCTAGGTGACAAAATAGACTGTGCATTAACTTGCAGTGTGGACACTGTTACAGTGCAGTGAAAGACCTTTATGTGCTGCTGCTTGCTGTGCTTTTGGACTTTCAGCTGGGTGTGCTGTAGATTCACACTATGACTTGCCACACAGTAACTCATTGTGTAGACACGCCCTTATAAAGTGATTTTGGTCCCCACTGCAAGAGCTTTCACTGGCTGCCTGATGGTGCAGAACTTCAAGCTTGTTCCCCAAACCAAAACTCTAATTAATTTGTTATGCCACCAGCTCCCCATCGGCCTGCTCCTCAGTGCAGCTATTAATTATGCATTCCCTCATCAACTTTGTACTCTCAACCCCACATCTACCTGTCTACTGTTCTGAACAATGCTATAGCAATAAACTAACGTGCACTAAGGTCAGCTGGCTGGAACTACATGAGCAAGGTTGGAAGGATTAGGTTTTTAATCGGCAAATGTCAGTACAAATTGATTTGACCGTATATGAACAAGCCAACAAAAACTATTTCTACTTACAATAATAGAAATGTACAGATGGGCAAAGTAAGAAAAATGCTGCTTGAGAACTTTGAGTTTAATTTAAAGATATTTATTTTGTATATTTTGACAATGTGTTTTAATTGTTATAAAGTTTAACTTTTTAAAATTAATATCCACTGACAGTAAATAATTATTGTCTAACCCATCCTGTTGTCTGAACCCACCCCATAATTTCCCACAACTGTGAAAATTTGAAGCAATAAAAATTTACAAAATGCTTAACTGTCACAATTATAAAAATTTAAAATTTAGTTCTGCCAAGATTATGTATTAGGTGTAACAGGACTCACTAGAACCCTGTCAAATCTCCCCAACCCAAAACAGAAATAAAAACCAAAAATCTGAGTCACAAACAGAGGCTAGGGACACCATTCCTGCCCATCCTGGCTAATAGCCATTGATGGACCTATCCTCCATGAATTTATCTAGTTCTTTTTTGAATCCTGTTATGGTCTTGGCCTTCACAACATCCTTCAGCAAGGAGTTCCACAGGTTGACTGTGCGTTGTGTGAAGAAATACTTCCTTTTATTTATTTCAAACCTGCTGCCTATTAATTTCATTTGGTGACCCCTAGTTCTTGTGTTATGAGAAGTAGTAAACAACACTTCCTTATCTATTTTCTCTACATCCGTCATGATTTTATAGACCTCAATCATATCTCCCCTTAGCCGTCTCTTTTCCAAGCTGAAAAGTCCCAGTGTTCTTAATCTCTCCTCATACGGAAGCCATTCCATACCCCTAATCATTTTTGTTGCCCTTTTCTGAACCTTTTCCAATTTATCTTTTTTGAGATGGGGCGACCACATCTGCACACAGTATTCAAGATGTGGGCATACCATGGATTTATAGAGAGGCAACATGATATTTTCTGTCCTATTATCTATCTCTTTCTTAATTATCCCCAGCTTTCTGTTCACTTTTTTGACTGCCACTGCACATTGAGTGGATGTTTTCAGAGAACTATCCACAATGACCCCAAGATCTCTTTCTTGAGTTGTAACAGCTAATTTAGACCCCATCATTTTATATGTATAGTTGGGATTATGCTTTCCAATGTGCATTACTTTGCATTTATCAACATTAAATTTCATCTGCCATTTTGTTGCCCAGTCACGCAGTTTTGAGAGATCCTTTTGTAGCTCTTCGCAGTCTGCCTGGGTCTTAACTATTTTTAGTAATTTTGTATCATCTGCAAATTTTGCCACCTCACTGTTTACCCCTTTTTCCAGATCATTTATGAATATGTTGAATAGGACTGGTCCCAGAACAGACCCCTGGGGGACACCACTATTTACCTTTCCCCGTTCTGAAAACTGACCATTTATACCTACCCTTTGTTTCCTATCTTTTAACCAGTTACCAATCCATGAGAGCACCTTCCCTCTTATCCCGTGGCAGCTTACTTTGCCTAAGAGCCTTTGGTGAGGGACCTTGTCAAAAACTTTCTGAAAATCTAAGTACACTATATCCACTGGATCCCCTTGTTGACCCCCTCAAAGAATTCTAGTAGTTTGGTGAGGCATGATTTCCCTTTACTAAAACCATGTTGACTCTTCCTCAACAAATTATGTTCATCTATATGTCTGACAATATTGTTCTTTATTATAGTTTCAACCAGTTTGCCTGGTACTGAAGTCAGGCTTACAGGCATGTAATTGCCGGGATCACCTCTGGAGTCCTTTTTAAACATTGGCATCACATTAGCTATCCTCCAGTCATCTGGTACAGAAACTGATTTAAATGATAGGTTACAGACTACAGTTAGCAGTTTTATAATTTCACATTTGAGTTCCTTCAGAACTCTTGGGTGAATACCATCTGGTCCTGGTGACTTATTGCTGTTTAATTTGTTCCAAAACCTCCTCTAACGATGCCTCAATCTGGGACAGTTCCTCAGATCTGTCACCTAAAAAGAATGGCTCAGGTTTGGGATTCTCCCTCACATTCTCAGCCATGAAGACCAATGCAAAGAATTAATTTAGTTTCTCCGCAATGGCCTTATCGTCCTTGAGTGCTCCTTTAGCACCTCAATCATCCAGTGGCCCCACTGGTTGTTTAGCAGGCTTCCTGCTTCTGATGTACTTAAAAAAAAATTTGCTATTACTTTTTGAGTCTTTGGCTAACTGTTCCTCAAATTCATTTTTGGCTTTCCTAATTGTATCTTTACACTTCATTTGCCAGTGTTTATGCTCCTTTCTATTTTCCTCACTAGGATTTAACTTCCACTTTTTAAAGAATGCCTTTTTGCCTCTCACTGTTTCTTTTACTTTGTTGTTTAGCCACGGTGGCTCTTTTTTGGTTCTTACTATGTTTTTTAATTTGGGGTATACATTTAAGTTGAGTCTCTGTTATGGTGTCTTTAAAAAGTTTCCACGCAGCTTGTAGAGATTTCACTTTTGGCACTGTACCCTTTAATTTCTGTTTAACTAACCTCCTCATTTTTGTGTAGTTCCCCTTTCTGAAATGAAAAGTTACAGTGTTGGGCTGCTGCGGTGTTTTTCCTGCCACAGGGATATTAAATTTAATTATATTATGGTCACTATTACCAAGCGGTCCAGCTATATTCACCTCTTGGACCAGATCCTGTGCTCCACTTAGGACTAAATCAAGAATTGCCTCTCCTCTGGTGGGTTCCAGAACCAGCTGCTCCAAGAAGCAGTCATTTAAGGTGTCAAGAAACTTTATCTCTGCATCCAGTTCTGAGGTGACATGTACCCAGTAATCCCCCATTATTATTATTATTGAGTTTTTTATTTTAATAGTCTCTCTAATCTCCTTGAGCATTTCACAGTCACTATCACCATCCTGGTCAGGTGGTCAGTAATATATCCCTACTGCTCTATTCTTATTATTAACCATTAGAGTAGATGAAGAAATTCTTATAATATTAGAGTAGATGAAGAAATACTAGAACTCATTTTACCCATATAAGGAGTGGTATGTGCAATGATGGTGAGACCATGTTAGATATCAAACAACAAATATCAAAAGCAGCAAAATGAAAAGATTTGGAAAAGTAGCATGATTGACATTGACACAAATATACATTTTTAACACCTGTATGATGTCTGTCCTCCTCTATGGAGCAAGGTCATGGAAATCTACACCAAAAATTGATAAGATCAATTAATTCCAAAATAAATGCCTGCGGAAGATCTTCAAAGTCCACTGGAAAGAGTTTCTTGCAACATCAGAAATTCTAAGTAGAGCAAATCAATCTACAGCATCAAATATGGTCAGACGACAATGGACATATTTAGGACATGCTTTAAGGATGCCTCAACATAACTTCCACAGCAAGTTATAATATGGGCCACAGACACCGGCTTCTCCAGGCCCCGGGGGTGTTCAACTCCCTGCTCTGCCCCAGGCCCTGCCCCCACCTGACCCCTTCTCCCAAGCCTAAGCCCCCACCCCGCCTCTTCCCACCCCGTTCCACCCCCTCCCCTGAGTGCACCCCATTCCCGCTCCTCCCTCTCCCCCCCAGCACCTCCTGCACACTGCGGAACAACTGATTGTGGTGGGTCGGAGGTGCTGGAGGGAGGGGGCGGAGTTGATTGGTGGAACCACCGGTGGACGGGAGGCGCTGGAGGAGAGTGGGGAAGCTGGCTGCCAGTGGGTGCTAAGAACACATTAATTAAGAGCACCCACAGAGTCGGCACCTATGATATGGGCACCACCTGGAAAGAGGACAAAGAGGGCAATCTAGAAAAACATTATGTAGAACAATAGAGAAGGAAGCCAAATCCATCAACATGACACTCAGAAGCCTGAAAAGACCAGCATAAGACCAAAATAAATGGTGGAAACTGGTGGACACCCTATGCATCCGAGGATGTGGGAGGATAAAGAAAAGAACGAACACAAACGTGGGTGAAACACCTTGAAATATGAAAATAAAAAACACCTCTCAGAAAACAATTATAAAGAGCGTCACAGATATCTCCATGATAGCATAATCCATTCATAACAAGGCAATTCTGAAGACAGTTTTTCTAATAGTTGAGAGTGACAGAATGGAAATGCTTTAGTCACTTATCTGATTTAATTAAAGAGTGTTTAAAAGGGTGGTTACATGTTAGGCTTCTTATTCAATTTTTGTATATTCTTATACACACTAAATGTAGCAGAACATAAATATAGGATGAAACAGTAGGTTAATTAATTGATATATGCACTAAAATGAAGTTTAAGGAAAAGTGGAAGAGAAGTAAAAACAAAGCAACAAACCAGGAACAACAGGTAATAAAACAAGGGTGATGGGATCCTCAGAGTGCAACCTGGGACTGTGGGACCGCTCTACCCCCTTTACTCACTATTCTGGGTAGTCTCTCACAATGCCTTATTGGTGGCAAACAGCAAACCCCTCCAGGTGCTGTTACAACTCAGTACAACCGCATGTGGCACCCCATGCCCAGCTAGATTGCATGAATGCTCCCAGAACAACTCATGAATCACACAGAGAAAGGTGCCAGCCACATTCCCCCAGCTCCCAGCCTTGTACCCTAGGAATAGACCCTCTTGAGCAATGCACATTTATTACTTAGTTTGCCACTTCATCAATGGAAAGTGGACATGCACCAGCCTTTGGTAAATCTGCTCAGGCCACAAACACTTCAGGCAAACTTACTGGTAAAGATAAATAGTAAAACAAGTTTACTGATTACGATAGATTTTAAGAGATTATAAGTGGCAGGTAAAAAGTCAGAATTAGTTACATGCTTCTGGCCGCCCTGCCACTGTCCCTAGGCGACTTGGGCCGCTTCGCCCAGCCCCAGCTGCAGTGCTAGGGGGCGACCGCCCTGCGGCACCTGCAGGCGGCTCCGTGTGCCCCGTGGGGTGTCCCCCAGCCTGAGTGTCCCCCACTCGAAGCCTGCCCGGCCCAGCCACAAGGTGTGGGTGCTGCTCCCCCATGGCGCGAACTGCAGCGGCCCCAGGGCGCCCCCCCGCGCACGATGCGCTGCTGCTGCCAGGGCCGGCTCTAGGCTTTTGCCACCGGAAGCACAAAAAAAAAAAAAATGGCCACAATGCTGCCCTTGAAAATGTGCTGCCCCAAGCACATGCTTGGTTTGCTGGTGCCTAGAGCCGGCCCTGATTAATATGGGGGTTACAGGGCACTCCCCCGAGGTACAGAGTGTCACAAAGGGGCAGTATGCACAAAAAAAATACTAATATTAAATATATGAAAATGCAATTTTTGTGAGTACTGACTATCTGATAGACTAGACTCACTTCTTCCATAATTGTAATGACAACTTTTATTACCTAAGTTGAGTCCTAGTCTAACCTGTAGTAACTAGTCCTCACACGTCTCACTAACCTTCTTTCTTAGATGTATTATGCTCATTTCAATGGCCATTCAGATCAGTGGAAAGACTCACGGACTGGCAATTAAAATACCAATATCCCGGAGAATATTCCCTCGTAAGGGTTCTCTGCAGGACTCATGAACACCCGGGGTCTCATGCTCTTATTTACACCTGTAACACATCAGCGTAGCTTTGACTTCAATCCAATTACTCGATTTACATCAGTTTAACTTAGAAGACCATCAGGCCTATTGATTTCACTGGAGTTATTATCAACTTAGAAAGTCCCAGGGTTGCAGGCTAGCACAATAGCTGTAACATTCATTAGGGGGGTGGGGGAGACCCTTCATTATAAGTGGTCTGCTGAGAAGCAGGGGTTAGTGGTTTACATAAATAAATTTCACACTGATTTGGGGGTTATATTTGTTCAAGGTACAGCTCACATGCCTGGAAACTCCGCCTTTTGACTCTGACTGGGGTGAGCATCACTTTAACAACCCGGTACAAGCCTTTAGTCTCCTCCCCCACAAGTCACTAGCGCCCAGCACAGTCACAGGGCGCTTTAGCGGGTGCAAGGACTGCAAGACCGGGCCCACAAGCGGCACAATCAGGGCTGGGAAGGGCGGCCCGGTGCCATTCCCAGGGGGGCTGCAGTGCTTTGTCTGCTACGGTACCCCAGCCCCTATGACGCGCCCCCTCCCGCACCAGGGCGCTGACCAGCCCGGGGGAACGTCCCGCACGCCACCATTTGGGGTGGAAGCGTCACGTTTCGATCTACCCAAAGCCCCGCCGCCCAGCGGCCCCGAGCCAGAGCGTGGGTGGGAGGGAGCCACCCCTCCCGGGCCCGGAGCCGCTGAGTAAGGCGCGCGGGATCGCCGGGGAGAGGGCCTGGCCCTGCACAGGCGGGCGGCAGCCGCTACCCCAGGGCCCTACGCGCTGTCCGTTCACCAGCCGGAGCCAGCTCGGCCGAACCGACCCGGCTGACGTATCGTCCTGCGTCCATAGGTGTCCTGGCTCTGCCTGATCTCACACCAGTCACATCCTTCCTTTCGTTCCGCTCGCACGCCGCGGGTCCCGCACGGGGAGAGCGTGTGCGAGCCGGCCACCGGGGCAGCGTGAGATGGGGAGGGCAGCAGTGCTGGTACAGGAGCAGAAGGAGACTCGGAAGATCAGGCGATGCTTTAGGTCAGCCCCAGCGCCTGGTTAGTTCGAGGGGGTCGGGGTCCTTCCAGCGGGCGTGCGCGGAAGGCGCATGCGCAGTGTGGCTGTAGCTCAGCTTTCTGACATGCCGACGGTCAGTGTGAAGCGGGAGCTGCTCTTCCAGGCGCTGGGCAGGCGCTATAGTGAGTGCGGGCGGTCGCCGTGCTGGAGCGGGGACTGGGCAGGAGCGGGTGGGGCCTGGCGAGCGAGGGGGGCTCTCTGCTGCTCTGGCCTGTCACCAGCTTTCAGGTCACTGGCACCTGGGGACTTAGTTGCCCCCCACCGAGCCCTAGCTCCGGTGTCTGTCTCTGCTCTTGCTTGGTGCTTTCCCAGTTACCCTGTTTCCCCGAAAATAAGACATCCCCCGAAAATAAGACCTACTTCCAGTTTTGCCTCTTGCTGTAATATAAGACATCCCCCGAAAATAAGACCTCCCCAATAATAAGGCCACCCCGGAATATAAGGCCCCGAAGCTCCAGGAAAAATAAGACCTCCCCTGAAAATAAGACCTAGCGCATCTTTGGGAGCAAAAATTAATATAAGACACTGTCTTATTTTCGGGGAAACACGGTAGCAGCAAGATGCTGCTGATCCGATCTGAGTGTCCTGACTGTAATAGCGGCCAGCAGTGAAACTGACAAGACTCTGGGTCGATTCCTCTGGGGAAATCTGTAAGGAGCAGTATGTGCCGTGTGGGGTTGGCTGCAGGTAGGCTTAGACGTCACTGCAATAACTTACACTTAATGCCCATGTGGAAGTGTGTTTGCACAGCCATAAGGGCTAAAAACGCTTTTAATCAAAGCTTGGGTTCTTCAGAAGTTCATAGCATTTGCTTGGGAAAGCTTCTTGCTTGCCGTGGCTTGGTGGATTTTTCGGGTTCTGTGTGCACATACATGCTATTTGAGTCCCACTTACTGATAAAATATAGGTATACACTTAAAAATTACAGTCTAATTTTAAAACAGCATATTGGGGAAAGCAGTTTTTAAATTGCTTGGCTTCTGAACCCTGAGTTCTGGATTTTTTTTTCATTGTAATAGTTGATGGATTCTGAAATACATTTTTAAAAAATTAGGGAAGATAGGTAGACCTGGCAGATAAAACATCTTAGCCAAATTACCTTTTCCCACAGCCCTTCCTTTTCCCCAATTTCTCTGGCAGACTAGACCTCTCCATAAGTCATAAGATGAGTTATGCATCCTAATTTATACCCAGCTGACTGAATGAGAAGGTAATTGTTGATGCTAGTGCACTGCTTCTCATGGGCTTGTCTGTTCTTTTGCTGATGTGATGTGTTCCGGTTCTGTTATTGTTAGGGTTCCTTCCCCACTTTGAACTCTGGGGTACAGATGTGGGGACCCGCATGAAAGACCCCCTAAGCTTATTTTTACCAGCTTAGGTTAAAAACTTTCCCAAGGCACAATTTTTTTTCTTGCCTTAGTATCGCTGCCACCACCAAGTGATTTAAACAAACATTCAGGGAGGGCCACTTGGAGCCCTACCTTCCCCAAATATCCCCACAAGCCTCTACACCCCCTTTCCTGGGGAGGCTTGAGAATAATATCCTCACCAGTTGGTACAGGTGAACACAGACCCAAACCCTTGGATTTTAAGAACAATGAGAAAGGGGCCCTCCAGATTATCTGAGCTTCTTAACCCTTTACAGGTAAAAGAGAAATTAACCCTTTACAGGATAAAGAGGGATTTTATGCTACCCTTAGCTATATGTTTATGAAGTTATACGGTGTGGAGACTAACCTGAAAAAAAGCTAATGGTACAACCAATTGTACTCAATACTAACTCTGATATATTGTGTTCTAAATCTTTTGCTATGAATTTCACAAATCAATAAATACAATATGTATAGCAGAAATTGTTACTAAAATAAAAATAAAGATAAAATTCACAATGATCCCCCCCGAACCCCCTTGCAAATAGCATTTAGTATTCTATTCAGTGCTTTTTTTCTGAGTTGTCTTCAGAAGTCTGAGGTCTGTTTATTGGAAACCAGAATTAACCAGAGTGGTTTTTCTTTCTTCCTAGCTGATGAAGAAGTTGATGAACTTTGCTTTGAGTTTGGTCTGGAGCTTGATGAAATTGTAAGTAATATGTTGTCATTTATCACATTTACATTTGTCTTTAGCCGTTTGGCTGTGGGGGATTGATTGCAGTTCTGTTTTGATAGAGGGGACCAGTCTGCTGGGTCTTCGGCAGTTTAGCTGCCCTCCACCAGTAAAAGAGCCTTCTCTCTGAACATCATAAGTAGTGTATAAGACACTACTGTTCTGCTGTATGGACCAAGAACTTCCAATGTTGGTAGCTCTGTGTTGCAAATACTTTACAAACTCTACTTAGGATTTATTTTTTTTATGCAAGGTTGTACAACTTCCACAAAAACTTAGTGTTTTGGGCATTTTATATAGTGACTGAAAAGTAGTGGTTGAGGTCTTGATCCTGCATCAGAATTTTCTAGTATTGGCACCCACATCTTTGCAGAGTCAAACTGAATCTGATATTGTGTTGGTGTTTTTTTTAATTTCTGGTTTAGTCTGAAGTGATTGTTAATCTTCTAATCAGATCATTTATATGTATTCAAAGGTTCTTTTCTTGTATGCTCTATTTCAGAATAGACTTCAGACATTACTGATGGGATACTGATTTACAGCCAAAATGGAAGAAATAATAAGGCCTAGTTCTGTACTGGGGTCTACTAGCCTAGGCACTTGTGCCTGGGCTAGTCTTTGTTTCCAATAATAAACAAATATTCCTTTGGGTTATTGTGTTAAGACTTCTGAATCTGAGAGGTAGTACAATTAAGTACTTCAATTTGTACAGTTTCTGATGCTTTAAGCACCCATTTCACATATAAACCCACATTATGCCCTTTAAACCACATTTGTTAATGAATACTATTTATTTTTTTACATTTAAAATTATGCTATTTTCTAAGAACCTTCAATGCTCATTTATGCCATTATTAGTGACTCAGTTTTCGTTTAATTGTAGACGTCTGAGAAGGACATAATAAGCAAAGAACAAGGTGATGGAAAGGCAGAGAGTGCATCAGATATCATTCTCTATAAAATCGATGTTCCTGCTAACCGATATGATCTTCTTTGTCTGGAAGGATTGGTCCGAGGGCTTCAGGTCTTTAAAGAAAGGTACTCTAGCACTGTGAGGTTTTTATATTTCAGTATTTGATTAGGCTAAACTCATACATTGCTTATTAACGTTAAGCAGCTGATTAATAAAAGTGCTATTTGCTTGGCCTGTGAGGGATCTCTGATCTATAACTTCACTGTAATTGCCAAAATGTTTTCTACGCTCCAGCAAATTTTGTTCAGGGAGGCTCACAGCAGTACTCTTTCACAGAGTAGAAGGCAACTGTGTGTGATATGCATAGTCTGAGAATGACAGTGATGATTCCTTCTCCTAATTTTCTAAAGGAGGTCTTTAAGATTATTATTTATTTATTTATTTATTGTTGATATTGTTATTGAAATAATATATAATGTTATCAAAATTTTCTCTTTTCTCAATTCTCGATTTCTCTGAAATTTTCTGTGTAAGTAATTACCATTAACATTAATGATTGATCTGGTTAGACAACCTGGGATTGATCCTGCAAGGTGCTAAGTGCCCTCACCTCTGCTTGAAGATAGTGGAAATTGAGGGTGCTCAGGATCGAATTCCCTGTGACAGAAACAGTTTTCTACAGGTGTGTTCTTGTTTTCTTTAAGTCCGAGTTTTTTTAGGAATCTTTGACTGCAGTGGAGTTGTCTTTTTGAGCATATATATTTCATAGTACACTATACTTAAGTTAGTAGGAAACTTTACATATATGTTAACAGTTTTTACAGAATTTTAAATACTAATAAAATTGATAACATTTTCACCATAAAGCACATTGACACTTTTCTAATGTTTCCTCCTTGTGCTCTTTTTGGAAGAATGTTTCACGCTCAGTTGTAAACTTTTTATTTCCATTTTTGTTTTAGGATAAAGGCCCCTAGATACAAAAGGATTATGCCAGCGAATAGTGACGTTCAAAGGCTGATTATTACTGAAGAGGTGAAATTATTTGCTGATTCTTTGTCCGTATCTTGAAAGCTTCATCACCATCAAACATACTCTGTAATAACTGAGTATCCGAGGGGAGCCGTGTTAGTCTGGATCTGTAAAAAGCAACAAAGAGTCCTGTGGCACCTTATAGACTAACAGATGTATTGGAGCATAAGGTTTCGTGGGTGAATACCCTCTTCATCAGATGCATGGCGGGCTGGGCCAGTTTGTTTACCTGCCGCATCGGCAGGTTCGGCCGATCGCGGCTCCCACTGGCCGCGGTTCGCCGCTCCAGGCCAATGGGGGCTGTGGGAAGCCGTGGCCAACACATCCCTCGGCCCGTGCCGCTTCCCGTAGCCCCCATTGGCCTGGAGCGGCGAACCGCGGCCAGGGGGAGCCGCGATCGGCCAAACCTGCCGATGCGGCAGGTAAACAAACTGGCCCAGCCCGCCAGGGTGCTTACCCTGGCAAGCCGCGTGCCAGAGGTTGTCGACCCCTGTGTTAGTCTATAAGGTGCCACAGGACTCTTTGTTGTAATAACTGAGTTTGTTTTAAATTTTAGTCGGACTAAGGCTACAACTTATTTCCTATGCAATAGAAGTTTAAATGTTTTCTCCATTCAGTGATGTACATTGTAAATAGTGGTCTACATTGTAGCTGATATGGGAATACTATACAAATTACTTCGTAAAGGATAACCATGTTATTTCAGGAAAATTCATACCTGTGCATCTCTGATGGTTTTCGGAAACTGTATTCTCTGTAGAGAAAATCCTCTTTCCTTTACCAAACTAAAAGTAAACTATTTCCTTTGGGGATATGGATACTCTTTGTGCCTTTTCCATTGTAGTATACATCTTTATAAGCAAGTGTTAAGCACTTCAAAAAGTTCAAGATGCACATTGTTTCAATGTGAGAATTTAATTTTTATAAATTCTGCATATATGAAATTTTTATCATTTGTAACTGTACCGCTCTTATAAATTGTAGACTGCCCAAGTTCGTCCTCATGCTGTAGCTGCAGTCCTTCGTAACATAACTTTTTCCAAGGATCGCTATGATAGTTTCATTGACCTACAAGAAAAACTACATCAGAACATCTGCAGGTTAGTTTTTAAATCCAGTGAGAATAAAGCATATGGTACATCACCATTTAGGTTGGCTTAATATTTTTTTATTGTGAAATATTTAATTTGATTCTTGATGTGGACTGCTGTTCACTTTTCCAGAGAAATGTTATGTTTACACTCATGCTTAGATAAATATTTTTCAGCAGTGCTCTTTGACATTCTTCATTTGTCTTGCTTGATACTGGCAATTCTCAATGCATTTCGCCATAAGGGGGTGACGTCTGCTAGATAAGTAGTGGAAGAAGCCTCTTGGGTAAACTCTCTGCCACAGTCCCATGAGATTTACATTTGACTGTTGTGTGTGTTGTTACAGAGCCAATGTACCATGCATACTGGAGTCAGAATGCTACTACCTCTATGTGCTTCCACACTTGTAAAAATTGCTATTCTGCTTCAACAGTTAGCTATGTGCATGTTTGAGACTGTACTGCCTCAGAGGACGTGACCTCAAATGAACTCCAAATACCTATAGAAAAAGTCATTGTTGTTTTACCTTGTTTCCTTTGTAGGAAAAGAGCATTAGTAGCGATTGGTACCCATGACCTGGACACAATCTCTGGTCCATTTACTTATACAGCTAGACCTCCTTCAGAAATTAGATTCAAGCCCCTGAATCAGTCCAAGGAGTATACTGCTTCTGAAATTATGGATCTATATCGGGTAGGTGTCCTTTCCAAACTCTTCACATGCAGTGCTGAAATCTCAATTTCTAGAGGGATTGCAAGACTTGGGATTGGCACCTCTGCAGATATTGCCAATAGTGGTGGTAATTTTATGTTGTGGCCACCTCTCCACTAGAAACTGGAACTAGACCACAAGTTCATTTTATGCAGAGCACCAAACAGACACATGAAAAGGTAACTTTTGTTTACTGCTGATGTGAGATCACAGTCTAATGTACACAGAGCTAAATGTGAAATGGTGTACTAGCTAAAAGGCTCCATATCCAGTTATCTCAGTCCTGGAGATGGTTGTATGAAATATGACAAATATTTGATTTGAAGGATTATAACTGGTGTATTCAGCTGCCTTTTTTTTAGTTCCGCTTTAATATGCTCCATTTGTTTTCATGGAACAAAATAGAGGTCCTCCAGTTGTCACAAAAATACCTTAAAATTCCTATGTGTGCTCACCAAAATATAGTGAACAAAGTATCAGCCTCATATGTTGGTGGAACTGGTTTTAAATTTTGTTGCGATAGAAATTGTAATAAAAATACAATGAGGGTGTTTGTTTTTTTTAATTCAGTGTGATGAATTCTTATCACTAATAGAACATATCTGGATTTTACCTTTTTAAAAAACAAACCCTGAGAATAGTACATCTTTTTACTGTTGTGGTGTATAATAGGCTAAATTATTTCAATCATTCTCCATTTGACTCCTTACGGTTGTTTTGAATTGAGCAACTTACGTTTCTTTCATATTTATTTGACATTACTCACCTAATTTCTGCAACTAGCTCTTAGGGTGAAATCCGGCCCCATTGAAGTCAATGGGAGTTTTGCAATTGAGTCTAATGGAGCGAGCATTTCACCATTGGTCTTTGAATTGTTCATGAGCATTTGGTTGTATTTGATATTCAAAATTGTGCTGTGCTGTTCAGTTTTTATTACCCATGTAAATCACATGGTATTGTTTTTTGGATAAACATAACTCTTGGAATCAGGCTTCTGAAGCAAATAGTCACATTTATCAACACAAAGATTGCTTTCCATGAACATCTTGCCTTAATGCTCATGGTTCTGGAACATCCCATGAATATTCTAGGAATGAGCTTACTGACAGGAAACTGAACACATGAAGGGTGAACGCACAGCTGAAGCAAATGCAGTTTTTTTTGTTTTTTTGTTTTTATTTGATCATGTATTTGCAGAAGATGTTGAAATATTCGCCTGGCTGTAGCAGGAGAGGGTGGCTATTTACAGTGCTCAAGCTTAACAAGATGCCATTCTTGGCTCCCCGCCACAATTAAAAGAACCCCATGTGTGGGTCGATGATTAGTAGGAAGAAGTCATATCAAGTCTGTTTTTAAATAGTAACTTTTCTAATATGGAAGTGTTCAAAGTGTTGTCTTTCTATAAAGCACCATGGGACACATAAGCTTTTCATAGCAAGTAAAGAGAGCCCCAATATGCTCTATCTAAACTGATGTGGCAGGACACTGAAGGAGAGAACAAGCAAGGAGGAATAGAGAGGCTAGAAGGAATACACAGAAGAAAACTGCATTGTCTAGTAGAATATGTTTCATGTTCTGGCAACAGATGTTTATATTTAAAATAAAACACCCCCCCTCCCTACTCCCGCTATCATGGCTCTTTTAACATGAAATCATTTGGATCAGATGCTGAAGAGCATTTCAGTGTAAACCCATCAGTACTAAGAGACTAGAATATTTTCTTTTCTTTATTGTTCTGCTGCTAACTTTTGCCACCTTTAAGACCAATTGCTGTAAAGCTGGGACACAGTTACTTTAGCATGCTTAGTGCTCTGTGCTTAGGACAAGAAATGGAAGTTCCTTTACGATGAACAATCACAGTGTTTGGCTTGAGTAAGACAGTGTGGCTGTGATCCTCCTACTCATAGATTAAGAAGTAACATTTTGAAGTTAGTGTTAAAATGAGAAAATAGAAAATTGTTTCTTGGCTTTCTTGCTTTTTTAAACAACTTTCTGTAGTGAAGTAATATCTGTGAGCCTAATCCTTTACTCAGGCAAAACTCCTGTTAATGCTACAGTTGAGGGATTATGTCATATGGTGATGGTTCATGATTAAGATAATGTGAAATCAACTTGTGCTTTATTTCTCCAGACTGACAGCCAACTTAAGCATTATTTACACATAATTGAAAACAAACCACTTTATCCAGTTATCTACGATAGCAACGGTGTCGTTCTTTCGATGCCACCAATCATCAATGGTAAGATTACATATTATTATTTTGTCACTATTATTTTTCTGATGGTGTAGCCAACAAACTTTTGAGTATATGTGGGTTGTTTCATTTTTCTTAAAATGGTGTCACAATTTTTTCATTTATTCTTCACTATAAATGCCATGTATGTTTCTGGTACCCTTGCCACTGGAAACTAAATGATGGACTTCTTTGGTGGGACTTTCATGAGCAACTATGAGATAGGCATAACAGGTACAGGCTTATTACTCATTGGTCATTTGGCTGAAGAGTTTTGTTCAAGGTGAATCTATAACTGGTAGAATTTGTATCTCTCATTGTGTTGTAGGTAATAGGGGATGCTGATCCATTTGCCTGGGCGTGAATCCAGTGTAATTATCAGCACCGTGAATCAATTACTGTGAGAGCATTCGGTATACAAAAAATGAGTTCAGAAGGCTTTGATTAATAAATAATTTTTTGGGGGCTGGAATTTTTGTTGGCATGGTTTCTAACAGTGTTTCCTCTGACTATGAGAGGGACTCATGGATGATTTGGGGAAGGCATTTCTGGTGACTAGTGAAGTAGATCAAGGATACTGGCAAGAATATTTCCTTAGACAAAAGTAGATTCATTATGCCCACAATAAGAGTTTAGACCAAGAGTCAGTAACTCTTATGTAATCAGGGTCTGACACTCTCAACAGTGACTGATCTGATGGCCAATGACATTCTCACTTTGGATGTGTTTCTCTAGTCATCCCTACAAATCTTAAACAGCTGACCTGAATCTTAAGAGGCAGTGTACTTTTATCTATCTCTGATGTTTGACAGCTGTTCCAAATTTGAATGTGTTGTCAGCCACAGTCTCTGATCCTTTTGGAAATGTTCTTGATTAGGCTTATTGCAGCTTCAGATTATTCTAGCTCTAAACATTTCAGCTGCTTGCGTTTTAATAATTCAAAAGGCTGAATTAAATTTCATATATCTTGGTGTGTTTTAAGGCAGTGGTTCTCAAAGCCGGTCCGCTGCTTGTTCAGGGAAAGCCCCTGGCAGTCCGGGCCTGTTTGTTTGCCTGCCTCATCTGCAGTTTCGGCCGATCGCGGCTCCCACTGGTCGCGGTTCGCCGCTCCAGGCCAATGGGGGCTGCGGGAAGCGGCACGGGCCGACGGATGTGATTGCCGCCGCTTCCTGCAGCCCCCATTGGCCTGGAGTGGCGAACCGCGGCCAGTGGGAGCCGCGATCGGCGGATGCAGCAGGTAAACAAACCGTCCTGGCCCTCCAGGGGCTTTCCCTGAACAAGTGGCAGACCGGCTTTGAGAACCACTGTTTTAAGGGATGATGTTTCAGAGATGTTTCAAGGTTAAAGTTGATGCATCTTATTGTTCTTGAAATGCAAACATATGAATGCTCATTTTAGATTATTGTGGGAACATTAACTAGAGCTGGTCAGGAATTTTCCAACTAAATATTTTTTCGTTGGAAAATGTTGAAACAGAACTTTTTGCAAGTACATACCAGTTTCAACAAAACTTTTGTAAGGAGAGGTTTCTCAGACCAAGGATGAATGGATGGGACTGGAGCTGAGGGGCAGAGAAAACAGAATAGCCGTAGTCTGGTGATTAGGGTACTCACCTGGGATTTGGGAGAAGCAGGTTCAAATTCCTGCTCTATTATCCCAGGTGAGTGCCCTAGCAACTGGCTGTTGTAGGGTGGATTTCTCTTTGGTTTATCACAAAAAAATTCAAAAGGTTTCAGGTTTTATCCTGATATGGAATGGGAACATTTTTGAAATCTCAAAACTTTTTGTGGGATGGGAAAACTGTTTCCCACCCAGGTCTGATTGCAACGTGATGTTATATTTGCCTTGAACTGATCCTAGAACAATTGAGTGTATTCAGTGTGCAGGGGGCATGACGGAGGCAATTTGGTAAAGAGATCACAAGATACACTGGTGTGTAACTCCTCGATCCTCCTCACTTCTTAACATGACCTCATTGTGAGGAATGGGGCCACACACACGACTTATAACTAACTATGGGACATCAGTTTTTCTGGAGTTTTGGTGCTGTTCCTGTAGTATTCACAAATAAAATTCATAGCCTTTCTGGGGAGAAATTGTGTGCTTTGGCCATGGCACTCTCTGCATTGTGGAAACTTTAATCCTTTATATCAGTCTGAGAGAGCTCCAAAATTTTACTTGCTCTTTTTTAGCTTTTGTGCTGCAAGTTGGGATCCTTCAAACAGTGAATTGGCCAAAAACAACAACAAACCCCCCTCAAAACTCCAATAACCAATTCTTTCTTCTTGAAGCCTGTCTTGTCAGTGTTGTTCTGCTATCCATGTTATACAGCTCTCATTACCATGGGATCTGAACACTCACAAAATTTTTACATATTTCTCCTCTCACCAGAGGTAGGTCAGTGCTATTCTCCCCTCCCTCCCCCGAAGGGGAACTTAGACACAGACTTGACCAAGGTTACACAGGAAGTCTATAACAGAACAAGGAATTGAACCCAGGTCTTCCAAGTCCCAGGCTAGTGTTCTAACTAGTGGGCTATCCTTTCTCTCCACATGAGGCAGTTTTGGGGGAGGGGCAAAGGTGGGTAAGGTTATTGAATTTTCACAAGAAGTGTCTGACCACTAGACTGATAAATAAATATTGACCAATGTCTTTGGTTTAGATATGGGCTGTTTGTTTTCTCTCTCTTATTTTAAAGCAGGGAAGACCCCGTGTATCCCAATGTGCTTCCCATTAGGCTTTACCTAGGGCATGTCGAGAAAAAGCCCTCAGTTCTTCAGAGTAGTGACTTAGACCTTGCCTACACTTGTGGAGGCATGTTGGGTATGTGAAGCTACAAACCCCAGTGAAAGACCAGCTGCGTAGCTACACGTGGCAGTGAAAGGCTCCAGCAAGGCGGGGGAAAAGGCTGTGGCAGCAGGTCGCTGCTGCCTCCTCACTGCCAGAGTTTTTCTCTGCTGCGGAAGTCTTTCACTGCAGCAGGGAAAGGCTCCAGCAGGGGGACTCTACACTGCTAAAAATAGCAGTGTACATGTGGGAAGCACTGCTTGGTGTGTAGAGAGCCATGAAGGGTCTATACGCTAGGGTTCAAGCTTGTCTCTGCTTGGTTCATCCAAGCAATGCCTTACCGTCTACACTGCTCTTTATATCCATGTTAGCTGCGTGTGCAATTTCTGTACTCTATACATCTCCACAAGTATAGACCTATCCTTAGGCTATTTGTCAATCTGAGTGATGTTTTAAAAATGTTCAGTCTCTTTATTCAGGGGTGCTTTCCTAACCCTGCAGCCTAATAAGCCACAGTCATGATGTTGGCACTTGCTAGAGCAAGGAGAGCAAACCACATCCTCTGAGAGTGCAATGCTAGTTATGACCACGAGGTGGGCATTGTTTTGCTATTTTGCCTTCCCTGACTGGAGGCTGATATTGCCTTCATAGCACCCACAGACCCATGCAACCTCCCAAAAATGGGTATCCCAAGTTCACTTTGGACCCCAATTTTCCACACAAGACAGTGTATCACTGCTATTATGCCTTCACTCTTGCCTCTTGATTTATGAGAGGAGACTCAAAATTTCTATTTAAGAGCTGTTGGTGCAGCAGGAAAAGTGATTTTCTGGCCAATGGAAGACAACAGCAATGTCACCGGATTATGAATAAGGTGAATCAATATGTGATGTTCTAAGAACTATGCTAACATCTTTTAATATGTGTGCATGTATTTTTTTTATTGTAGGAGACCATACAAAAATAAGCCTAAATACCAGAAATGTGTTTGTTGAATGCACAGCCACTGATATTACAAAGGTAAATGAAGCTTTACTGTCTTTGATATGTTGTCATATATGGTGTACATGTAGCTGTTTTCTTCTGGGGTAACAGGACCATCGTGCAAACAAATACTGTAGATTGGCATATATTATACATTTTGGAGCAGGAAAAGTTGAGGGGCCATTTGGGGAGTGTATTAACCAGCTTCTCCTTATGCTTCATTTTTATTACTGCTCTGGGGATAACTTACATTTTTAAAACTGTTTCTAGTTCCATTTGTTCAGGGCCAGGCATATTTGTTCCTGCACGGATACTGATTCAATTTGAGAGTAATTCAAATTAAATACTCTTTCTTGTTGATAGTTGTTCTGTGTTTGAACAGCTCTGAAAAGTGAAAAATACCTTGATTATTATATATTAGCAGAGTTCTCTTTACAAAGAATCATTTTCCCCTTGACCTCTTAGCAATAAAACTTCTTGGGGATGCCTTTCTTCTTGATAATTCTATTCTAATTTGTTTAAAGAGAGAGAGAGAGTCATATGAAATTAAAGACCAAGTTTCCAAACATGAGGACACTTCTTAGTAGGGGTACAGTTCTCACTGTGTCAACCCAAAGGCAGCCTTTCCCCACCAATTTTGGTAATTGCAAGACCAAGCAACTTTTCTGGATGCACATTCACTCCTTTGAGAATTTTGGCAGAGTCTAACTTATGCTTTGTAAAAGCAAGAACACTTTTAAAATTAATCCATATACTGCAAGGGTTAAAATAGATTTTTGTGTGTTGGGAGGGCATTCTCAAGGCTGATAAATATAATTAACACGTTGAGGGAGGCCTCATTTTTGGAAGATAGAATTAGGGAAGCTAATGAATCATCAGGTTGAAAACAGTGTGTTTGTGCTAAATAAGATAAGTGCATAGGTCAGCAGGCTAAGAAGACAGAATGTCTGAGCCAACTAAGAAGAGGGATTAGACCCATGGAACTATTTACTATGAACTAGATAACAAGGACAAAATAAGTTCCTCTTTACCTCATCTTCACATTTCTAAGTTGAACCATGGACAGTGCATGCTGCAAAGTAACCAAGCCAAGACAAAAACGGTGATGCAATGTATAATAAATACAATGAGATGTGTAATGTATTTAAAGGGAGAGGGTTTCTGTGCAACTTTGGAGCTGTGATGTATCCTGCATTTGAGTCTGATCAACTCAGTCTAGCATTGCTGTATGACAAATAAAATTACCTGAGTGACAAAGTCTGGAATCGAACTGAGTTCTTGGGAAGTTGAGTGGAAAGAGGTCTTGGAGGGAATCCCAACAATAAACACCTTTATTGTGCTTTTTTACTTCTTTACAACTTACGAACATTAAAATGGATGTTGTTCAGTATGTCTAAAGAAAATGTCTGCCTCAGGCTAAATAGGTTTTTTGATGTCTCACAGAAACTGATTTGAATCTTATGACTCATTTGTTACACTAACGTCTCAAAATATCCTCCTCAAAAAAACAGATTTTACAGTTTAGGTTGATCTGATCCTGTTTTTTTACAGATAATGCACAGTCCTAGAACTTATAAACTCTTTCTTCTTTTAACTTCAGTGGGACTGCTCATTAGAGTAAGTCTTTGCAAGATCCAGACCTAAATTGTAATAATGGCTCTCATGTCTTTGGGAGCTGAATTTAGCTAAAATCTGAGTCTACTTCAGTGCCATCCAAAGCCTTCCATTTTTCATGTCTTTGAAGGGACTTCTTTGTTACAGAAGCCAAACATTTTTTTTTCTTTTAATTGAATGTGACTCATGAGATGTAAAGTTGTATTTTGCATTCTAGATTTCCATTTTTTTGTTAAAGGAATAAACAGAGCAGTGTTCACTCTATTATAAGTTAAACATCTGAAGCATGACAAAGAAAATATGATATTTTGCATCATTTAAAATAAATAGCAGAACCCACAGATTTTAATGTGGTTGTATTTCTTTATTCTTGTAGGCAAAAATTGTCCTCGATATCTTAGTCACGATGTTTAGTGAATATTGTGAGAAGCAATTCACGTGAGTAGTATAATCTTTTACTGTCAATGAGATCAGATTTGTTGGTCAAATCCCACATTTTACACACTTTGACTTTTCCCCCCCTCAGTGTTGAAGCAGCAGAAGTAACTTATCATAATGGAAAAACCTGCATCTATCCAGTAAGTATTCTAGAGATGACTGGGGGAAATGGATTTCTATACCCATGAGGGTTTGGTAAAAGAGAGTGACACAGTCCTCATTTCCTGCAATCCCACTAGCCTTTTCCCTGTAAACATTCCATTTCTGTCAAAGCTAAAAATGTAGGACTGCTAAAGTAGTCTGATATCCCAAAAGAAGGGGAAGGTTTAAAATGGGTTTGAGGTCACTGCTGTAGCTTAGAACCCATTTGAAATATATTATGCCTGATCCAGTAGTAAGTATAGCTACAATCAAGGCATGTAATCTAGGTCAAAAGCCCATAGAACTTGCTTTTTCCTGCAATCATTGCTTATCTTGAAGTTTCCCCCCACAGCTGTCACCCACTATAAACTGATGGGCAATTGATATCATCCTTGGCTTAACTTTTTTGATTTATCAGATCTGGAAAGTTTTTGATGCCTTTCAGTTAAATAACTTTAATGTTGCTTTTTTGGTCCTTTGCTCTTGAAAGCTCCAATCATACAAGGAACTGCCCATGGGCAGATGCTTGCACAGTGACTTCAGAGGGGCTCTGCATGTGCTTGGGTGCCCACCCATGGATGTCTCTGCAGGATTAGGGTGATAGCTAGTGCTTTTTTTTTGCTTTGTTAAAAATAAGCAGAATGGAAATGATCCCACGTTTTTCCTGAAAGCAGCTGTGGACAACTGGGGATCTAGTTAGGCTTAGCATAGATATCAAGCAAGTGAAATTTGGTTAATCGAGATGAGAAGTGACTTTTATTTAGATTCAGACTTCTTATAGTGCTATATTGGTATCTTTTGTTTTGATGATGTCATTTTGACTCAGTGCAGTAAATGAACGGGGGGGGGGAGGGGGGAGAAACCCCCCCAAATCTCTCCCTTTCAGATTAAAGATCCAGTATCTACATCCCTGGGTCAGACTTCCAGCAAAATGGAGAAAGCCAGACATCATTCCAGATATTTCTAAAGCAGAACAAAAACCTTTAACCCCCAAAGTTTCCAGGCCTTTATACAGCAAAAAAAGAACTAACTCACCTTTTCCCTCTTGAGGCTACTGTTTAGGAGGGTTTGTTTTGTATTTAAACAATTTTACTAACAACTTTATCACAGGGTCTTGTTTTATTTTTTGGTTTGTGTGTATGTTTTCCTGCTGCTTTCTGTGGCTGCAAGAGCTGCATTGAGTTTTACAGAAGCCTATGCCTGATCTGATTTATACATCTGGTAAAACAAGGAAGAGAGAATTCTGTCATCTCTTTGCTCTGCTCAAGGTGTCAGGAATTGCTACCTTCCTGGTAGTTTGATTTGCCCTACTCCCAGAAGCAGAATTCCAAAGTCAGTTCCAGGAACCTGAGCTCCCATGCATGACCATTAATTGTGTCAGTGCTTTGTTTTTGGTATTCTCTTTGTCAAATGTTCACTTGAAAGACATTTCAAGGTGCCTATAAACTTGTATCTTAACTAAAAGTAACTTTATTCTAGCATATCAGGTTGTTGTTTGTTTAAAGTATATTACGGTTATTCTAAAATATTATGCCGAACCCCGCATTACAGACTTCTCTTCTGTGGCTGTCAGTGCTGTCAGAAGAAGTTGGATTAGAAAGATGTCACAGCTAGATCTTAGTAGACACAAATGTAACTTTCTGCGTAAACCTTTTTTTCCCCCTTGTAGGAACTGGCTTACCGAAGAGAAAAAGTGAAACCTGATTTAATGAACAAGAAAATTGGAATCAGGTATGTTATGCAAACCTATCTTTTATTAATTTAATTGAAATTAATGAGCTGTGGTAAAATACACCGGTTATTGTGATATTTTTATAACTTACATATTGTGTGTTCAGTTGAATTTTAGAATGCACTAAAAACTGGTATGCTAACTTGAGTAATTATATCAGCTACCTAAAGATGCCATTCAACTAAGTGAGTGATTCTTCATTCCCTCCTATAATTATTGTGTAGTCTTGCTTGCTAGAGAATTGCTGTCATGTTTTATCTCAGAGGTGGCACTGATAGGTGATACATATGTATACAGTTTGAAAATACTTTGAGATTCTTTTGCATGGAAGGCACTGTGCAAATTAAAGGTAGTATCTTATTTAAAAGCTAATCAATGTGATGTAAAAGTCCCCAAATACTGACTCTGTTGTCTTGTTTTAGTGAAACGCCATCAAGTCTTGCAAAGCTGCTGACCAGGATGTGTTTGAAGTCACATGTCACAGGGAATGGGAACAGTATAGAAATTGAAATCCCTCCTACCAGAGCGGACATTATCCATGCATGTGATATCATAGAAGATGCAGCAATAGCTTATGGTTATAACAACATTCAGATGACTATTCCAAAAACATACACCATAGCCAATCAAGTAAGACTGTCCCCATAAATAAATCCTCTATATTGTCAGTAAATGACTAGTGTATGCCAGAAGGGTTTTGAGAAAAACAGAGCCAAAGAATTAAACAATATTTGGACATGCTTTGCTGTGAGGCATTTACCATGGATTGGATACAAAACATATGCCCAACTGATCTGAGTAGAGCCAAGACCAGTGGTGGCTGGTGCTTGGAAAAAAGACAGGGTTTAAGCATGGACCTGATATTAAATCTTTAATTGGAAGATTCATTTTCTCAGTCAGCTGGTTGATGCTTTTGTTGTTTGTTTTTTAAAGCATGCAAGCAACCTTACTAGCAATATTCTTTGTAATGTAACATGCAGAATTATCCAGGAAAGCATCATAAATATTTTCAGTTTGAAGATAAAAACTGTCTTGTTTTCTTTTAGTTTCCTCTCAATAAGCTCACAGAACTTCTGAGACAGGACTTGGCAGCTGCTGGATTCACTGAAGCACTCACTTTTGCACTGGTACATTTTATTAACTTTGGGATTTTTTGGTTGTATGCTGAAACAATTAGGGAGCCAAATCAGAACATCATAGTCTTACAGTGTCATGCAGTGTAAATGTTGTGATCTTGTTTTGGGACATGCTTGTTTGCTAATGTTTTGGTATTACAGTATAATGTGTGTTGTGTGAGCTTGTGTCCTCAGAGGAATTGAATTGCTGACTGGCATATATTGCAAAATATAGAGGTAAAATATGGATGCTGAAATGGACTGTTTTAAGTTTCACTTAATATGAATAGTACCGAGTTAGAAGACTCTCAGACTGTTTCTCAAGATTGTCAGAGTTTAATAACAAACAAAATGTATTTGGTTACAATTTAATAATGTGGAAACAAAATGAATAGTGATACCCCATACATAACACTGCAGTTCAGAGTTCACAGCCATTCCATTCTGAACCCTTTCTTGGGTATTTTAACTTGTCTGTGAATGCCTGCTTGAGCTGTAATAGTGGTATGCAGAGCCTCAGTCAGCACATTTTTTTTACAGATCTTTTAAAAGCATTTTAAAAAGTATAAATTATGCATTAATTGTACTCTTATGTCCCCGTACAACAGTCTCACTTTCAGGTTCCTGCGCAGATATAGACTGTTATAGTTGTTTATAGTAGTACTCAGACCCTTGCAAGGGATCAGGGTTTCACAGCAGAGAGTACTTCTTACCACAGTTATGTCTGTAACTGCAGTTAGTGTAGTTTTGAAAACTGGAATTGTGCAGACAATTAGTTGATCATGCAGACTAATAAATGTTTTAAAAAAATGTTAAATGTACGTGACCATATTTAGTTTAGCAAATCAGATATTATCAATGCACAGCAACTCTTCAGAATAGATTTTAAAACAATTTTTAGTATGCTAAATAAGTTCTTGGGTGAACATAATGGCAGGTCCCCACGTGCTAATGTGGCCACAGAATTTGTACCAGATTGTGCCTTTGGATTTGAGTAGCTCTAGATGTAGAAAGGATTTTCAGAAATGCATGAGATTTATATAACTAATAGCTGACCCTGTATGTGGTGCAAAAACTACACACACGCACCCTGAAAGTACACTCATCCTCCTTTCAGAGACTGTTATCTGATTCACAGTTAATATTTGGATAATATTTTCAAAATCATCTAAGTGGCTTATGACACTGACTTTCAATTGGATTTAGGGGATTTAGGCTCCTACAGCACTTAAGTGTCTTTGAAAATTTTACCCTTTGAAACCAAATACCATAATCCTAATGCAGGGGTGGGCAAACTTTTTGGCCCGAGGGCCACATCTGGGTGGGGAAATTGCATGCAGGGCTGGGGCAGCAGGTTGGGGTGCGGGAGGGAGTGCGGGGTGCAGGAAGGGGCTTAAGGCAAGGGATTGGGACAGAGGAGGGATGCGGGATGTATGAGGGGGCTCAGGGTGGGGGTAGGGGTGCAGAGTGCAGGAGGGGGCTCAGGGCAGGGGTGCAGGGAGGGGTGTGGATTGTGGAAGGGGGCTCAGGACAGGTGGTTGGGGTGCAGGGAAGGGTGTGGATTGTGGGAGGGAGCTCAGGACACAGGGTTGGGGTGCAGAAGGTGTGTTGGGTGTGGCAGGGGGTTGGGGTACAGGAGGGGTGTGGCAGGGGGCTCAGGGCAGGGAGTTGGGGTGCAGGAGGGGTGCGGGCTCCAGGCCGGCGCCACTTACCTGGAGCGGGTCCGGGGTGGCAGCGGCGCGCACTGGGGCCAGGGCAGGCTCCCTGGCCCCGCGCCGCCCCCGGAAGCGGCCGGAACCACGTCCCTGGGGTGGGACAGAGAGCTCCACGTGCTGCCCTTGCCTGTGGGTGCCTCCTCCGAAGCTCCCATTGGCTGCGGTTCCCTGTTCCCGGCCAATGGGAGCTGCAGGGGGTGGTGTCTGTAGGTGAGGGCAGTGCACGAAGCCCTCGCGCCCCTCCCCCCCCCACACACACACTGGGGCCGCAGGGACGTCGTGCCAGCCACTTTTGGGAGCGGTGCGGGACCCGCAGCACCACAGGGGTGGCAATCCTGCGGGCTGGATCCAAAGCCCTGAGGGGCTGGATCCAGCCCGCAGGCCGTAGTTTGCCCACCCCGTCCTAATGTAATGGGATAATGTAAAACTATAAAATTGGCTTCAAATTTCTCTTCAGACTTCTGTCTCCTGACTTCCAGGAGGTTCAGATGTGATTTTTTTTCAACTTTGGCCCATCTAACTAGTCCACAATCCCAGTGGACTATCCAGGATAATAGCTACCAGTTATTTCTCACTATGCCAATATGCAGTGTAGTTCGATTATCTGTAGTAGTACAATGATAGGGGCCAGGGCCGGCTCCAGGGTTTTGGCCGCCACAAGCAGCCAAAAAAAAAAAAAAGAGCGATCGCGATCTGCGGCGGCAATTCGGCGGGAGGTCCTTTGCTCCGAGGCGGAGTGAGGGACCATCCGCTGAATTGCCGCCGAATACCTGGACGTGCCGCCCCCCTCCGGAGCGGCCGCCCGAAGCACCTGCTTGACAAGCTGGTGCCTGGAGCCGGCCCTGATAGGAGCAGTATAATATGTGTTTCTGTGTTCAAAGCTTTCACAGATTTTGTTCATGTATTAATTCAATGAATGTCTCTTCAGTGTTTTCAACATCAAATAACTGGGATGCTCAAAATGCTGAATTTATATGCATCCAAGCAGTACATGTTATCTGATCTTTATGAATTGCAGCATCGTGTCATGCGTGTTGCACATCTGTGTTTCTGCTGTGGCATTGATATCTGAGCTCTGGCACATCACTGCCAGGTACTTAAAACACAGATATGAAACACACCTATCGTTTCAGTATCATATATGCTGCACCATTCCGCAACCTCATGTTACATTTTGGATGAGAAATGTCCATTAGTCATTCTCACATGTAATCCATTCTTTGGTTTGAGCCCAAAACGATAGCTTCAAAAGAGTAACATTGAGTTCTGTATGATTTAGCAAGTGTGTAATCAGTCATGTCATAGTCAGCTAACAGTTTAGCTAGACATCTGAAAACACCTGATCATAAAAAATTCCTGCTAAGGTCAGCAATAATTGAAGATCACTTTTTTTTCCATTCAGAAGCCCACTCTTTCCGATAGTATCAGCTGCTAATTTTGCTCACATTTGATCAATCAGCACCCTTTTGGAGCACTGCCAACACAAATAGAACACTCGGGAGGATAGCAGAATACTGGCAAATCCTCAATTACAAGCAGTGTTCATGTATCAGTTTCCTTATGCATTAGTAGAGCTATAAATTCTGGAAATCTGGACTGTGAATCTTAGGCCATGTCTACACTAGCATTTATGTCTGCAAAACTTTTATTGCTCAGGGGTGTGAAAAAACACACCCCGAGCGACATAAGTTTTGTCGGCATAAGCGCTTGTTGGTGGGAGAGTCTCCTGCTGACATAGCTACCGCCACTCGATGAGCTGGTTTTATTATGTTGACGGAAGAGCTCTCTCCTGTCGACGTAACGCGGCTACCGGAGTGTTCTTATAGCAGCACAGCTGTATTGGTACAGCTGTGCTGCTGTAAGCTTGTAAGTGTAGGCATGGCCTTAATGGTAGTTTCTGTCACTCTGTGTGCACAGATGATCAGTGAGCTCAATAGGTCACTTGTACTATTTTAGTAACTAGCTTTTTAAAGATACCTTGAGAGCCTAATGGAGCCATGATAGTGTAACGCTTATCAATGCACAGTAGTACCTTATTCTGCAAGTACTGTAGTCCCAGTGGGATTGTTTTCTCTGTTCGAAGGCTCAGTGTAGGACTGATTCCACTGGGACTACTTGCACAGGAAGTTACTATTCAATGGAAATCAGAGTGGAAGAATTTGTCCTCTTATTTTTAAAATTGATAATTACCCATGATAAAAGCTAACACACTCTTGCCTTTTCCTGTTAATCTAGCATTATTTTAGTTAGTAATTGATGCATAAATAAGCCAGCCCACTTAGATATAAGGCTGAGGCTTCATTCCTCACTTTCTTTTGTGCTTACAAGTGAGTATTGCCAATCAGAGGGTCATGTTAAGGGGCAGCAGAGCTATTGCTGATCTTGCATTGTTTGTTCTTGATATCAAGTTCTATCATGGTTCTCTGTATATTTTAACCATTTAACTGTTGTTGTTTTCTCCCCTCAGTGTTCCCAAGAAGATATTGCTGATAAACTTGGTGTGGACATCTCTTCAACGAAAGCAGTACACATAGCTAATCCCAAAACAGCAGAATTTCAGGTGAGTAGTTTAATTTCAGGTCTAATTGTTGCACTACCAGCTTCCCTAACCATCTGAGAGGGTAGTTACCAATCAGCAAGATAACATTACAAAAATCACATTTAAAGCCTGCAATTTGGGAGGGAACTTAAATATCAAAAGGAAAGAAAATACATAAAATGTGGTGGCCACTTTTAATGCAGTTAGAAGTCAATAGAGAGATTATGCACATGTAAAATACAGTTGCTTGCAGTTTCTTCTGAGGGCCCAATTCTATCCCCCCTTATACTTAGTAATATTTTAAACTATTTAAATTTAGTGGAATGAGGTACTACCCAATGGGATTGGGGTGACAAAATTGGGCCCTGTTTTGTTACAGTAATTTCCACCTTTAAATCCTAAATCTCTAAATGTCCATTTGTATCAGCAGAATCTAGAGTAGTTGCAGAATCCAAAATTCAGCAGAGAGATCGAGTTTCACTCAAAATATAGGTTAGTAAAGTCAGGCTTTAAGTGTTTCCATGATTTGTAAATTCCAGTGGAAAGTCTAGTCCCACTGAGCCAATCTGAAAACTGGGGCACTTTATTAAGACGGCATTTGAAGGCAGGGCACAGTAAATGTGGGTGAATTGCATTTGAAAAAACACTAATGTGAGTACGTGATGTTTGTTTCTTTGTGTATCTATCCTAGGTATTTCTGGCTGTCCATTACTGTAGTCTCTTCACATATTTTAAGCATATTACAGTGCAGTATCTTACAATATCACCTGTTCTATTGATAGTCCCAGCAGGCCTATGGATGCCTGTTCAGAAGTCACCTTAGTATTTACCTTCTGTATCAACAGGAATTGTCTTTATACGTTTAAACTTCATATATTTATGCCCTCATCAGTTTAAATCCAAATTTCAAAATTGAGTTTAAACACGTATTTTAATTCCCTGCGTACCTGGCTGCCACCTTGCCAGGTCTCTTGGCTGCTGCTTTTGCACCACTCATCAGGCTGCTGATTTTGAATTTTTAAGGTTGGTTCACAGCTGGCTCACAAATAAATAGCTTTCAGTTGTCCATTATATATCCACTACTGCAAAGCAAAGGAGCTGCTGAGCTCCTAGCCACTAGATCCTCTACTCTGGAGCAAGAATCCCTGGAGCTCACACCACTGACAATGAGAAGTAGAGGAAGCATCCCATCCCTTAGCTATTCTCTTACTTAAAAATTCACAAGGACCCTTGCAACATGATGACACGTTGCTTGAAAGTGTAACTGATGATACATGTCACTTTGCATCAGAAATATGTATGAATTGTTTTAGTTCCTTAGAGAATTTCTCAATCTATGTATTTGGAAGCAGCGTTACCTTGTAGTTAGAGCTGGGGACAGGGAATGAGAAGTCCTGGGTTTTTTTCCCTTCCTGTGTCATGGATGTGCTGTACAAACTCAGAAACGCCTCTGAAGTGCTCTGTGCCTCGGTTTCCCCTGCAAAATGTGGATATGAATGTTCATGCACATTCATAAGATACTTTGAGATCCTTGGGCAGTAAGTGCATGATATCTACGTTTTCAGGTTTAATCATTCTAAAATAGAGAGCGATAAACATCTGAAATTACTGCATTATTTCACCTGGCTATTTTAAAACTAATTCCAAATAAGCAAACCCAGAAAAGATAAGGCACCTAAGCAATCTGCCAGGTTGTTTAACACATGCAATTTCATGTTTGACCTGTAGGTGGCACGCACCAGCCTCTTGCCTGGCCTCCTGAAGACCATTGCTGCTAATAGAAAGATGCCTTTGCCTCTGAAACTTTTTGAAATCTCTGACATTGTTGTAAAAGATTCCACCAAAGGTAAGAGAACCCCATTGAGCACACAAGAGTTTTTAATATCCTCTGTGCAAGGATTCATGATTATCTGAAAGAACCCTTGCCTGCTCTATTTTAAGTTGCTCCGTTTTAAGAGGTGCTACTTTTATAACTGTTTTTCTCTTTCTATTAAAACAGGTCCTACAGTGTTAGTGATTTTAATTTTTATAATGTCCAACCCATTAGCTGTTTTAGCCTATGTCCTTCAGGAAATCTCTACTGTACCCAACTTCATGGGCAAGTGGCTCTCAAGAAATGCTTATTTACTTGATAAATAGTAATAGTGGGTAAATCTCTGCTCATCAAAAATATTTCGCTACAGAATTCATTCTCACTTAGCTCATGCTCACAGCACCAGGGTGGAACTCCCTTGTTCCAAAGGCCAGATTTTTAATGGTATTTAGGCAGCATGCAGATAAGTGCCTAACATGCACTGAAATCAATGGGCGTTAGGTTCCTGTGCACTTTTGAAAAGCTCACTAGGCACCTAAATCAAGTGATTCCAAAGTCTTGACTTGTCCCCCATAGAGACTAAGTAGGTCAGAGATCTATAAGAAAAGCTCAACTCATAGCCTTCTTGCCCCAGGGCAGGATCCAGGGCATAGTAAGTTTGCCAGTGAGAATTTGTCACTCATCACTCGACAGCTCAGACCATGCTACAGAAGTTGGGTTTGATGATTGCAATAGTATTTTTAAATCTCTATTGCACATCTCTACCTGGGACAGCCTTTGTTGGTGCTGAGATCCCGGTGGGAGGCGGGGAGATGTCACGTGCTGAACTACCATATCTGAGGCCCAGGTGGACCTGTACTGAGAGCATGAGACATAGGAGAGAATCCTATAGGATAATACCATCAAATCTGCAGAATTATAAGTAACTGTTTTTCCTTTTAGGAGCTTAGTAAAAAGTGATTATCTGACTTGACAGATTTGTATGTTTAAGTACTCTTCATTTTGTGACACCTCCCTCACTCAATAGCTAATGGCTCCTTTACCATTGTAATAGATCTGTAACCTATGTTAGATCAATACTGGGCCTGTGCACACCCTCCCCTTGCAAGTGAATTGCTGTTTCTTGGTGAAGACTGGGGCAAGTCCATGTGCAAAAAAAAAATTCTTGGTGTTATAAAATTCCCACACATCTATCAGATCATCTTCTTGAGAGTATGTTCCCATTTTATGCAACGTGCTGAGATAAACATATCTCCTTTAGTATCAAGCTGCAGTCTTAGTTCGGTTATATTATAAATAGACAAAGCAGACACTTCATGTTTCAAGGATTTTAATGGGATTCTGCCTGGTTGTAGGGGTCTGACTCCAGGATCGGGGCCTAAAACAGCATAATTTTTATCTGGAAAATATATAAAAGTGCTGTAAGGGGAAAAAACTAAACTGTAAAAAAAAAAAAAAAAAAAGAGAGAGAAAAAAATCTAACACATGTTACTGAATCAGTTTTTCTTCACATGGTGGCTTGATGAGGAAGAGTGTGTATATAGATCTATTTCTCTGCTGGCAAGACCTTGTGTGCTGAGTTGCAACCCTGAAGCAAATTTCTGCCCCTTCATAATGAAAAATGCTGACACTACCTTAAATACAGTAGCAGAAGTGAGTGCTGCTGTGTTATCTGGTTTCAGCTTTTAATGCTGTGCTTAACTTATTTGGTGTCTATGAAACAAAGGTTTACATAAGACGTAAACAAAACAGCAAGTAAATTGCTTTGTTGATGGACTTAATTTGTGGATTACTTTAAAAAAATTGCCAGGAAAAATAAGCAATTTTAGCAAAGCATGCAGACTCTTTATTAAATGCAGACAGTTTGGTGATCCAAGCTCATTACTTGTTGGGCAGGGAGGCTGCCAGCATGCACAAAACGTGGTACAGATGGCAGAATAGCTTTAGCATTCTTCATAACTGGTGTAGGGGTTATTTATGTTGGAGGGAAGAGAGCATTCCTTCTGGCTGCATGAAATGTACTAGTTAAATAAATTACGGTTATTTCATGGGTTCTCACTGTAGATTTTTTTTTTAAGCTTCCACTTAACAGTGTTATAAAAGCCTACTCTTACAGTGTACTTCAAGTTTAGCAGTAACCATTGCTGTAGATTAAAGATAAGTTCTTTGAGATAAGGGCTTTGTATTCCTATGTAATTTGCACAGTGCCCAGTACAGTTTGAGAATTACCAGAATACAAATAATAAAATTGTTTTTTGGTATATATATTTTCAGTAAATCTGCTAAATGTCTTTCCCAGATTAATTTTTGGGCCTTAAATTTAAATGTGCCGAAATTCATAGTTTCAAAGGAAAAAAGGAATGAGAAACCAGCAACAGTTCTTTAGACATTAAACAATATGGGGTTGTCCTGTTTTCACATATGGAATGAGATTCCCTGTAGGACGCTTATGTTATCTTTCTGAGTAACTTAATTTTACTATTTCATTTTTTTGGCATGCAAAATTTCCAAGTAATTTAAAAAGTATGGATCAGAAGAGCACTGACACTCACCGAATGTGAAGTTGTCATTTGTATGTGAATGAATATAGCTGTATTAATGCATTGTTCTTTAATAAAAATATTTTTTGCACACATCTCACCTTTACTAAGGTGAACAAAACATGCTTCTCTTCCTCACATATCAGACATAGATTTTGACTTCTTAATTTGGAAAATGCATGCCAGATTTAATAAAAATAAATCCAAATCTGACTCAAAAGTTTCCTTCTCAAAGGATGAGAGAGAGAGAGAATACAGGGTTGGAGTATGTGTCGCACAGGGCTGTGCACCCTCTGTAGAGTTGCATAGAATATTGGCTTGCGGGTTGGTCTTATTGTTAGGTTGGTAAAGTGTTCTCTAGTGCTATTACTGTGTTATTGCAGCCTAGAAATCAGGTTAGACCAGTCACAGAAACCTCACATCCTCCCTAACCATGATGAAAATATACATTTTACCCCCTCAAAAAGTTCTCTGACCAATGACCTAGTAGAATTTTGCAAGTATGCAGTAGTCTGCCTCTAACATGGTTGAGAGAAATTGCGAATGCAGTTGAAGTTGTTTCTGTGCATTTTCTTGCAGGCCTTACTGTAATTATATAAAAAATGCAGATTTCTCTGAAATTGATTGATTGTGAGACTAGTGTTTAACTGAGCAGGTGTACTTTTTCAAAATCCCATCTTTTCTAAACCCCTTTAAGTTACTAGGGGGCAGCATGCACCACTGTTCTATCTTTCATTATGTTGTTTTGGCTTGCAAAGTCCTAGCCAGCTGCCCATACTTTAAGTTATTTTAGAGCAGCATCTCCAGGCAGTGCTTTGAAGTCGGTGAAATACATGTATAATTTAGGCTGACATATTTGGCAGGCCCACAGAATTGTTTCATGGCATGACACAAGTGCTCTCTTAAATGATTTACAAAGAACTGAGGCATTTCCAACAAACCCCAGCTTTGGCATAAAGTTCCAAATACTTTTTTTCCCGTATCGTGCAGTGAATGAATTTCCTGTGATGTAATGTATTGACTCTCTGAAAGACTGAGCGTTACAGCACTTACAAAACTTGGAAGGGTTGAGTGAACACAAAATATACTCATTAGTTAAGATTTGTAGTGATTTTGAAAATTTGAAGTATTTTTATCATGACCACCTTTTTGTTCGGGATAACGATCTGAGGAAGTCATAAGTTACCTGAGTAATTGTGAAGTAAAATTCAACCTAACTTTTGTTGCTGTGGTTTCTAATAGCACCTACAATATGCTAAGCACTGTACAAAAAGGTATCTCCAAAAAGCTTGCATTCCCAAAGGACATAACAGACCAAGGGAATAGGAAATAGTAAACAAGGTTTTCTTCTTATCAGTTGTTTATATATGGCATATGTATGTACAAATTATCCTACAACCATGATGTTATAGTTACTTATAGGCATCAGGGAGAGGTGGGATACAAATGAAGAAAGTATTGGGTTGGAATGGCAAACCTTGGATACCCAGAGAAGAAATATTAGATGTATCAGGCATCAGATCTGTTTTGTCTAGGTTTGCCATTCCCGCATTGGGATTTAACCCTAGTGAAACCACAGTTACTTATTACAAGCTGAAAGTGACAATTCTGGTATTTAAAAGCTTCTTGGATAACAGAGTACCCTTCACTGAAGGCAGTGTCTGCAGAGGCCTGCATGTCTAGCTTGTAGCAGTAGTGACTGGGGCGCAGGTTGAGAGCCACTGTTATAGAGTCTAGCAAACATGGTACTAGATTATCTGCCTGCTGCTCTGTAAATATCTTCTGAAGACATGAATGACTTTTGGTCTGCAAGGATGAGCTTTGATCTTGCCTGTGACCTTTTACTCCTGTACTTTGTATTCCTCTTTAATGCAGTACATTAGCCCCCTAGTAACTGATGGTTTTAAATGGCTTTTTTGTTGTTCACTGGGAGATGGTACAGTAGGTGTAGGTTTGCTATATGCCTGAGTTCTTGCCTTGTCGATATTAACCACTCTGAGTATGTCCAACATGTGGTAGAGTTTCTCTTTTGTTGTGTTTAGGCTTGGTGTAGAATAAGGAAAGAAGTGTCTCGTGAGATCTGTGGAGTACAGCTCAGATACTCTGCATGCAGATGTGATAGCTACCAGATTTACTACTTTGTATTAGAAGAAGGACACTGAAGAAACAGGTTCAAATAGTGGTTTGATAACTTGTACCAGGATCAAACCAAAATCCAAGGGACCTACTTCGAATTTCCTGAGGATTTATCAGTGATGTTATCCTCATGAATCACCTAACGTGTGTGAGATGAAATCCACCTGGGTTCTACTCCTATTATTGAGGAGACCGCTGACAAATATTTCCTGAAAAAAGCTTAGTCATACCCAAACTGTAGGTATTCCAAGATTTGAATAATTTTTAGCCTTCTTCACTCTACTTGTTCTGTACTATTAAGTACTTGAGCTCAGTAGAGATCTTGGAGCATTCTGAGCTTGGAAACTTTTCCTGAGCCCATCAGGACTCTTGGAGAATAGCTGACTTTTTTATTTTATTTTATTTTAATTGCTCAACCTCCAGCTGTTAGGGGATTTTTCAAGCTTCCCTTCATCTAAGTGCTTAAGGGGGCCTTGACACAGATGATCTTCACATTCCAAGAGATGAAATAGGATTGTAGGGGACAGCTCCTTCATGCCAGACAGCCCGGGCCTCTGGGGCTGGTAAGATGGTGTTAAAATTAGTCTCCAACTGAATTGTCTCCACTGAGGTAAGGGTAGAAAGGGATGGAAAAGGCTGACAGGCTTCATCTGGGTTCTAGTGTGGAGGCTGCTGCTCCTTGATCCCAACATCTGGTGAAAAGACATGAACTTCTAGTATTCTGTCTAGGCTTGGCAAGCTTGTCAATTGATCACACATTATTTGTCCATGGTCAAGTGTCATCAAGAATGCCCTGTTGTAGGCGGTGGCCTACCTTTTTGGTTGTGGTATGGTCATGTCTGTTAGCAAGCCTACAGAAATGTCTTAAATCATTAACTTTGCTATACATTCATGTCACCGCTTGGGGAAAAAGATAAACTGATTGAAAGTTGAGCATCTTGATTGTCCTAGAAGATTCCAGCCAAACACTGTATATGTCTTTATTTGTATACCACGCCATCAATGCAAAGATATAGATGAAGCAGTTGAAGCTGATAAAGAAAAAGAAGATAATGAAAAGCAGGATGCTTGAAGGGTTGGCCTGCTGCCTACCTAGCATAACTGCATTTAAAAATAACTTTTTTCTTTTCTAGTTGCTATGGGTTTCTTCTATTTGTTTAATTTTTCTTTTTTTGTAACTCTTCAGCCTTGAATAACATTGACATTTAAATGCTAATCTAACATTGCTAAAAAGATAATTATTCTTTCATTTTGTAGAACTTCGTTTCATTGTGTTTTACATTTTTCTGAGTTAAAATAACTCAGTTAAGTAACTAGGTTTTTGTTATTAGACATGAGTATCTACCTTACCCCTCAGGAGACCATAATGTCTTAGTCTTTTCTGTTACTGGTGTCACTGTTCTAATTAGTGTTTTTAAAATATTTGGCCATTTTGGACATTATTTGACCAAATTTGCTGAATTGACCAATTATTTTTGGAGCAGTCGAAGGCCCAACCCTAATTCTGTCGGACAGGGGTTCCAAATCTCTTTACGAATGCACCTGGCATTTGAATGGCAGCCATCGTAGAGAGTGGAGCGAGTCAACCCAGTATACAGAAGTATGCACTAATCAAATTTAGAAATGATAAATATGTGAATCACTGCTGCTAGGTCTGCATCAGAGAAAAGTGGACAGAGTTGTCTGGTCAGTGGATGGGGCTTAGGGGATAGAGAATACAGTTCTGCCTACTGCTGCTATTTGGGCATCCAGGTGCAAAAATATTTTACCTATGGTAACCCTACCTGCTCTTCTTCTTTCAGGCTTTGTTTCATATTGAGAACTCTGTCGTCCATGTTTGTTAGAAAACAGGCTCAGATCCTGATGTTCTGTGATTCCTCTGAAGTCTCTAGCATCTCATGATCTCTCCCATTGGCTACACACAGATGTTGAATGAAAGGCACGAGGGGAAAAGCATGAAATATATTTTGCAGTAAAATGAGTCATCTTCATAAATAACTGTAACTTTAATTTTGGAGGCTTATAAAAACATGGATCATAACGTATTTTCTCCAAAAGGAGGAGAATTAAGGGAACCCTCTTCTCCCACTTCAAGGGAGAAGAGATGGACTCAGAGGGGAGCCAAACCTAATCAGTAGGCTAAATGTTGGAGGACTCTCTACAGTCTGAAAAAATCCATACATCTTGTGTGGTGCTGTACAAATGATCAGGCTCTGGCTGGTATTTTGTTGGGAGCAAATCCTATTCTAGAAGAAAGGGACTGCCAATGAGGGAGAGTCTACACTACAGCACTACATTGGTGCAGCTGCACCAATGCAGCAGCGCCTCTGTAGCACATCTGGTGAAGATATGCTATGCCAACAGGAGAGAGCTCTCCCATCGGCATAATTATTCCACCTCCGCGAGAGTCTGAAGTTTTGTTGGCGGGAGAGCGTCTCCTGTCGACATAGAGCTGGTGTGGACGTGCTTAGGTCGCTGTAACTTGTGTCACTCAGGGGGGTGTCTTATTTTTCACACCCCTGAGGGATGGAAGTTAGGTCGACTTAAGCAATAGTGTAGACCAGCCCACAGAGAGCCCTTCCTGACTTCTGCAAGGCCCACCTTTGTCACAGCCAACCAGCAAGCCAAGGGGTTTCTGCTGAATGCACCATAAGGGGAGAAGTGACTTCTGAGAACTGGGCTATAGATAGGCTTGGGAGGATTAGATTTTCATTAATAAATGCTGGTAAATGTTGATTTCACCAGACACACAGAAATTGACGAAAAAATATTTCTATCGATTGATTGATTGAAATTTCAGACAGACAAAGTAAGGAAGATGCAGTGTGAGAAGTTATTTGTTTGATTTAAGGATATTTACTCTGCATATCTCAAAATTTGAGATTGACAGTTTGTATTTTAATGGTTATAAAGCTTTAACTTTTTGAATCTCAACATCGACTGTCATTAAATGATTATGTCCCCTATATTGTCCTTCCCCCCCCCCCATAATTTCCCATAACTGAAAGTTTTAATTGATGAAGATAAAAAAGCTTAAAACCCATTTTACATAACTGAAAATTGCAATCAATAAAAAATAGGGGAAATGCTTAAAAATAAACATTGATATCTGTTGAAAATATATTTAAAGGAAAGAAAAAAAAAGTCTGCCAAGCCTAAATATAGACAACTTAGCAGGGTGTTGTTATACTAACCAGTACCTTGAATTTCACCATAAGTGAATTGACAGATGGTGAGAATGCATGTATTATCCTTTTCCTCTCAAAAAATTGAAAAGCAGGATTCTGCATTAGTTGAATCTTCTGAGTAACCTTTGACAGGCCCAGGCAGAGTGCACTGCCCTGGTCTAGTCTGGAGAGGCACAGGAATATAATGATACTGTAATACACTTGTGTGTCTAAAATGTATCCATGTGACATGAAAATGACAAATTATTCTGGTGAAATGAGTAGTCTAAGCAAAACTAATTTAAAGTAAGGGGGGGAGGCTGCTGTAGTCTTAGTGCTTTGTGTGAACACATGATATATGGTAATTAATTTTGGAAATTACGAAGCTTTTTAAAATATACATTTGAGCTCTTGTGAGGTGTTTGATTTGACAGTCTGAGACTGATATCCATAAAACAGGTGCACCACACGTAACTATAGTGTCTCTGCTCCACCAATATTTCAATCCTGTCCTCAAAGCTGATGTGAAAATACAGTGCACTCTCATCTGATCTTTGGTAGTTCTAGGACTACCAAGGAAGGTTTCAATTGTGTGGATGGCTTCTGTGATGTGGAAACCTGTCTGCTTGGAGTTAGACTTAGACTAAGATCTCTCTTCACACAGAGCCCCAAACATCTATGAGAGTATAACTATCTTTGGCTACTTACAGAAGTGGGCTTGTTTTGTACTGGTAAAAGGCTCTGTCTCCTCGTTTTATAAATAATCTACTTTCACCACCAGCGTTAAATTGTAAATGTTAAAAATAATAGATTCTAAGTATCAGGATCTTGTTGATTCTTGTTGAATATACATATTTTGGTTAATCTGCTTTTTAATTCCTTTAACCTTTTAATAACATGTTGGAAATATACTGAGTTCTGCTGTTTACTTGGCAAGATATTTCTCCTTACCACATTTCTTCTCCTTTTCCATCCTAATAAAGTACAGTATTTAAAATCTATGCAACATGATTTTTTCCAAATGATGAGAGACCTATGAGTTAAAGCGCTAGTGCCTATAATCAACTCTGCAGAGTTTGGGATGGATGTCTGTGAGAGAGGCCATTCTGCATTCTCAATTTCCCCCTGAGGTACAGATATCTCAGTGCACAACTGTAAAAACTGATGCAAAGGGGAAGGATAAACACGTGACAAAACCCAGAAGTACAAATGTTTGTTTCTTCTGCAGATGTAGGTGCAAGGAACCAGAGGAATCTCTGTGCCATTTACTACAACAAGAACCCCGGGTTTGAGGTCATCCATGGGTTGCTGGATAGAGTCATGCAGCTGCTGGCTGTGCCACCAAGCAAAGAGAGTGGATATCTAATCAAGGCAGCTGACGGTAAGAGAGGAGTAGCGTGGAGAGGGACCTGTAAAGGAATCCTACAATCTCATTACTATGTGGATTTAATTTTATATTGTCATTAACTGTTGGCACTTCAGTACAAGAGTTGTTTTGAATGTGTGTTAGCATGCTGCAAAATACTGTGGGGCAAATGGGACTTTGTATTCTCATTGCCTCTTACACATTAGGGAATGGAATTGGACTTTTTTCTTCTGGTCTCAGTATTTTTAGCCAGCTTCTGTGGTGGCGATCTTTACATAAGAGAGAATCTTAGTACAGTGGATATTTCTTACATGAGTAAGCTTCATGTGTATAGGAATGTGCTCTTCACAATGAGTTAATCTAGCAATTTAAGGGTTACATGTCAGTTTATGAATGAGTTTTAATTAACACCAGGTATCTGCTGCTTTCCTATTGCTAGACGTGCCTGGAAACAGACGAAAGATGACTTGTTACTCCTAAATATTGTAACTTGAAACTTTACCTACTTACGGTGTAGCTAGAGCTGCTGCACAAGAGTGCTGGCTGCTAGACTAATGAACCTGCTGCTGTATTAGTAATATTTCTATAACAGGCCTCATGGTTCTTTATGCCAGGTTAGTTACATATAGGGGATGGGACATCCTTACTTACTCTTTATTCTTTGTGTATGTGTGTGTGTGCGCACGCGCAAGGGGGGGAGGTGTGTTGGCCCACCAGCAGAAGTGGCTGGGCTGTAGCCCCTTTAAAGAAATATTGCTGGAGACCCTCTCTAGGGGAGGGCTGTCCATCCACAGCCCCCTAGCTTCTACTCCAGCACCTGACCTCCCACTTCTGTGCTGCCCCTTGGCCATGCATTTCCTGCAGGAACTGTACTGGCCAAGGCTCCTGAAGAGTCTTTAGTTGCCCTCAGTTAAGTGCACAGTTGCAAGTCTCCATCTGTTATGAAATAGAAACCTCTAAAGTCAGATATTACTCCTAGATCCATGTTCCTCAGTTGCTTGGCTCTGGTGCATGCATTGGAAGGGTTTTTCAAAGCTTCCAGAAAGTTTCCAGTTCAGGAAGAAATTATGAATTGTATGGAGAATTCTGTGTCAATTTCTAACTACTATAACCATCTCTCCCCCTCTCTCGTCTTCTACCTTGTCTTCCATGTGTTAGAGGAGGCGCTGTACACTCAGTGCCTAGCTGTCTGCTCGTTCTGATTCCACCCAGTTACCAGATTCCTCCAACCTTACAACCCCTTTTATTTATTTATTTTTTGTCTTTCTTTTAACACTAAGGAGCAGTTTAATTCCTATACAGAGAATCCTTGGTTGACAAAATTAGAGAATGTACCTCAGCCCCCCAAACCTTTCATAAATATATCTTTAAGGAGAACTTTACTCAAAACTTTCTCCTTGATCGGTACCATCAAACTTGCAAAACTCTGATGTGGGAGAGAGGGTTTAATTAAATAGGTGAGCAAAGATTCATCCTGTACATCTGCACCGAAGCAATTCATAAACCATCTTGAACTTGCGGCAAGGCTGTCTCAATGCCGAAAATTTGAGATGATTTTTTTTTTTTTTTTTTAATGAAAGAGGTCATATCCCAAAGATAGCACTGTATATCTCAGGGAAAGTGGGGATTGCAGCATTCCCAGGGCAATGTTGCTTTTGGGACTGGTATCCCATATTCAGCCCTTGTTCCAACATACTTTTATTAGATGGAAACATGTTTGCTATCTAAATGACTTTCTGGTCTAGGAAAAGGCCTAGAATAGACTGAGATCTCTGCCTGTTGTATATTCTTTCCCACAAGAATTGGACTCTACTTGTTCCTCAATTTCTTGCCTAGGAAATTTACAGTGGAACTTTAGATCAGAAATTTGTTACTTGAGGATGATGGTGACTTATCTCCACTCCCACCTCTCTTTTCTGGTTTGTTGCATGAGTGTTTTTTTGTTTTTGTTTGTGGGAGGTTTAAAGGGACCCAGGGACCAAAAAAATCCTGGTAGTTCTTGAGATTACTCCTGAAGCCAGGGCTAGCTGTCTTCCAAAAAAAACCAGGAATCTGTACAAAAGAACAAGAATAGGCAAGTCATCCATTCTGTTTCTTAAAATAATGACAAAATCAATATGAGAGAGAAAAACAAGACTCTGGGGATAGCAGCTGCTATTTTGTCTACTCACCATTCATTAGTATACAAGTATGTGAGAGAAATTATGACCTCTGTCCTGCTTGAGAAGTCTTAGCTCTGCATTTACTGTAACTAGAAACCCTGACACAACATCTTTGACAGTCCGTAAGAGAGCACGTTTGTGTCCAAAGCTCTAAAGCAACTTTGTTAGATATACAGTAGAACCTGAGTTACGAACACCTTAGGAATGGAGATTGTTCATAACTCGGAAATGTTCATAACTCTGGACAAAACATTATGGCTGTTTTTTCAAAATTTTACAACTGAAAATTGACTTAGTAACGTTTCAAAGTGTATTATGCAGAATAAAAATGCTGCTTTCTCTTTACTTTTACATTTAAGATAGAACTGTACTGTATTTGCTTTTTTTATTTGTCTCTGCTGCTGTCTGATTGTGTACTTCCGGTTCCAAATGAGGTGTGTGATTGACTGGTCAGTTCGTAACTACGGTGTTCGTAACTTTGATGTTCTACTGTATGTGCTGATTTTCTAGTTGTGTGTTGCTGGCTTGTCAACTTACTGAATATAACAGCACATGCAGTCTCCTAGCACTTATCCTTGATGAACATATATGTGCTCACATTTTTAGTGTAGCTTTTTTCCATTTTACTAAGTAATGTCCTTACTTTTACTTCTTGCAGATTTTCAAAAGATTTTGTAGCTGAAGTACTGAAAAATACAGTAAGAGCTGACTGTTGGCCAGTGAAATGTAATGCTGAAAGTACACCCTTCAGGTTGACCATATGGTTGTGCCATCAATCCAGTTCTTGTTCCCAACAGGGATAGGAGCAAGACTTCTGATTTCGTTTGTAGGCTGGTATTTTCAAAGGATCCTCAGGGAGTTAGGCGCCTAACTCTTATTGAGTTTCAGTTGGAGCTGAGCACCTAACTCCCTTAGGCTGTTTTTGAATATTCTAACTGTAAATTGTTATTGAACAGACATGTTGAAAGTGTTTGTTTTATAGCTAGAAATATTTCTAAATGTCTTGCGTTCTATACTGCATCCATCACCATAATGTCTGAGCACCTTACAAAGAACAGGAAAAAGATCACAATAAAGAATTCTTATACAATATATAATTCATTTCTTGATACTAGTGCCGTTTAGTATTCCTTCTGCCTCAGCACACATTATGTCCTTTAATAATTCCAGCACCTCCATAATGTTCTTCCTATATCTGCTTACTCTGGAGATAGCAAGTCTTAATCCATTCTTAGGTATGTACAACTGGCTGCAAACACTTTGTAGCTTTTGGAGGTTGATGAGTAGAATCCTGTTCTGTATGTTTGAAAACACTTCCCTCCTTCCTATTACAAGAGAGATCCAGAAACTCTTAGAATGACTTGTAGATTCCATGCAATTCTAGTGACATTGGAATTTAACCTTGGTAACAGTGCAGATGGCTGATACTCTGGTGCTAGAGTGAATGCAGTTTCACTGCACCAACTTACTTGGAAAGTCTGTGACTTCGGAGAAAGTTGGAAGTCAAAGTAGCTTTTTTTACTTGCCTTTCACCCTACCAATTAAGCATATATGAGAGATAGAATGTCAAGCCGATGATGGAGTAAGGTCAATTGTGTGAAAAAAAGATATCCTATAACATCTTAAAAGACTGCAGAGTACTGAAGGAGTCAAAAAAGAGTCGGTGCTCCTTGCCAGAGAGGTTTTAAATTGGGATATTCTACCATGTGTAATCTTTATTTTTATGGAGCAAACCATTTTAGGAGCTACACCACATGAAAATTTGTACACTTTAAAAATGGGTTTACCATATAAAACCATTTCTGAGCTTGAAGGAGTCAAACATTTTTTGTTTGTGTAGTCTTCAGCCAAATCTTGAAACTAATTTGTGGTACAATATAAAGATTTGTGTTTTAGGCCTTTGATAGTCCTGTATTCCTTGTTTAACTGATTGCAGTGGTTTTGATTTAATTTGGAACATAAAGTACTGATTTTATTTCAGAAAGTGTCTGAGAAGACAGTTTGTTGCATGTTTAAATATAATTCCCATAAGGCTTCAATGCTGCTTTGCCTCCTTTCTGAATTCACCAAGTAAAGTGAAGTGCCTGTTCAGTTCTTTACCATATGTGCAAACCATGGTTATTTAAGCACCTTCTGTTATACTAACACCTTAATGCCCATTGACTTGACCTTAGGGTCATAGCCTTTTTGCCCCGTAGCAACACCTGTGGAAAAATTACAGATGCTGGAAAATATGGGTGAAATTGTGATGTTCCTCTGGCCTTCACACCACTCTTTAGTGTAATCTGAGCTGTACAATAAATGGAACAGAAAAGACGTTGTGAGCAGCCGTGCAGAATAGGCTGTTTTTAAGTGACTAAGTTGAAGGATTTCAACATATATCTGATTCTTAGTGATTTCAGTTTCTCAAAGGATGCTATGGCCAGTTAATATTTTCTTGCTACTCCTAGTAATATTAAAATGATACATTCCTAAAGGAGGAAAGTTGAAGTTCTACCCCACTTTGAAAGTGTACAATACTGACATGTCTGTAGGTTAATTGCTCCTATAACTATTGGCATAGAAAAAATGTTTTACTTCCTTTTGTAGCAGATAACAATTCATACATCTATTACCAAACTTTAAATGGATTAAAAAGAGAAGAGTTTTGTATTGGTCCTCTAATCTGTTAGCTCTTTAGTGCTGTTTCTTTATATAAAATTCCTTTATTGACATTTTAGCCAGTTCCATGTAATTAGTAATATAAAGATCAAAGTTTATGGACTGTACAGTCATCACAGAAAAAGAATCAATAAGCAGTCTAAACCCTTTTAGAGTAACCAATCTATCAAGGAGAAGTAACAAAAATATATG